ATAGAAAGGGGTTTAAGACAAGGATGTACCTTCCCACCGGACTTATTCGGCCTATACAGTGAGACGAGTCTGAGAGAATTAGACATCCTAACAGAATTCATTGTTGGCGGCCATAATCTTTGAATAAATATGCAGATGACACAGAGTTGATAGCAGACGTAAAAATGAAACTAAAAAACTCCTGCAAAAGGTAGTGAAGGAAAGAAAGTGTTGTGGATTCCGAGATGAAATTCGGTCTCCAATGAATGACAAACGCAGGAATTAAAGATAAGAAATTAAATGTATTTACACAATAATACAATGGGTAATACTGTTAGTAAATCCAGGAACGCGGTTAGTAGCAATAACATATAGATATATACAGTCTCGAAGTAGGACTTCCTTAGAGTCTACGTGCTTGTAACTGACTTCTACAAGCGGTTACCTCACACTATTACTCTATCTCCAACCCAATCACAATCTCAGTCTTCTTACTATCTGACTACTCACTCTCTGTATTCTGACTGTCTAACTCTGGGTATTTAACGGCAGCAGTCCAAGTAACACTTTGGTCGAGTCCACTTATATGAGAAAGGGGAGGACCTCATAACAGAAAGAATGCATGGTTGTTAGGAAAAGGAACAGGCCAACATGCAAGTTACAAATCAGAGATACCAACATCAAACAAATACAAAAATTTACATATATGGGAAGTGTTTTTTAGCAGAGGATGGAAAGTGCGACAGTGAAATCTGAACATAAAGAAAAAGAGTAGTGAGCTGTTATTTAATATCAGTCCTCTTATTTTGGCAGTGAATGCTGGACAATGATGAAGTGACAACAGAAATCTGGCTCTACAGAAGGATGATGAGAATAACATGGACTAAAGCTGTGAGCAACGACAAAGTTTTAGAGAAAATGGAAACAAAAAGGAGACTTATATTTAACATCAGAAAGAAACAGGTGACATTTCTAGTGCATATAATGAAGAAAATTTGATGCTCCTAGAGTAGATTAAAGACAAAATGGATAAAAGAAAACAATGCATAACCTACCTAGAGAGCTTGGGTAAATGGATGGCGGAGCAATGTCTAAGAGAGATAACAAAAAGAGAAAATTTATTAAGAGCTAAAAAGAACAGGAACTTGTGGAGAGCCATGATCGCTAACATCCTGAAGGGACACGGCGCATAGAAGAAAATGTTTGAAGCTTGATTCTTCTGAGTATATTTCACCAATACTAGCTGAAATGTGGTAGCAAACAGATATAAAAGAAACGTTCCAATGTTTATCAGGTATTTATATTACTCTATCCGAAACGCAATTTATCCAGTACCCAATACCAACTTCGAAGACATTTGTCGGAGTTAGCTCCTCCTTAATTCCCTAATTGTCACTAGGGGTCGCCCACCCTACGCCATAAATACTGGGCGACTTCTCGCATTGTTCTTTTTCTCATCTCTTCATTTCAGCGACGACAATGTAAACTCTCTTAGAAGATCCGCGTCTTCCCATTTGTGGGAGACGCCGTGAACATTAAACACACATACACGTACGTACGAACATTCACCAAAGAAGAAAAACAAATGTTCACACACAAACACAATGTTAACTGTCTATGTGCTTTGTAATTTGTTGTTAATACATATATTTGTCGACATATATATCTGTCTTGCTTCTTTGTATTCTTTATCTTCAGTTGGACTTAATTCAAGTCCGACAATTTTCTTGTAGCCTGACCTTCTTCTAGCAGGAAATATAAACACACGTGTTTTCTTTTCATCTTCACAAACCGGTCCTCTACATTACAAACAGTAAACAACTTTAGTCTTGTTACTCGAAAAGAAAAAAAAACAAAAACAAAAAAACACAAAAAAAAAAAAAAAAACACAAAAACAAAACGTTTATTCCTTGAGGACATTTGGGTATGAATTTCTGGGTATTATAAAACTAATGTTTTCAGCAACCATTTTTACCAGTGCTCATATTGCAATTTTGCTGTTATCCTTGCATGTTTTTACCAGAGCTCATATTGCAACTTTGTTATTATTGCCACTGTGCCAGATGTCCTCAAGGACAAAGTGAATAAAGTGGATAAAGGCGTTGGTTAGATCCAGTGACAGACCCAAAGAGTGTGAGTTCAATACCCGGTTAAGGCAGTGGAGAACTTTCAGAGGGAAAATTAGGGAAGATAACTGATAACTGACATCCATCAAGCATGGCACGTGGAACTAGAACAGTCTACCCCAGTGATCGAAATAAAGAGTTCAGTTCGAAATTCCAACCACCTGAAGAAGGCCGGAGCGTACAACAGCCGAAACGTTGTGATAAATATGGCGACAAAGATGTGGACAATAGTCCGAATAATGTAAATACTGTACATAATACCTCATCTCAGAAATATAGACAGAATTAATGTACATTTTGAAAATACAATTAAGTTGGTTTGATGGATAAATGAGAATAGATGTATTTAGCTGCGTAGAATATTATTGTGAATGTTTGAAGGTGTTTGCAATTGCTATTCAGATTTGTTGACAAAATTAAACTAAGTGTCCAGTTACGTACTAAATTGTCCTTTGTGCTAGTTCAGTTATTAGTGTGAGTACGTAAGTTTTTTTGTATAATTGGTAGGAGTTGCGCACCTTTAGTCGTGGGATAATTTGATTGTTTGTTTACTAATACTTATTAAGTAGTGAGAAAAAATGTCACTTTTTAAAGTATCGTAAGTGATGTTTGGATAGCGTTCCTGAGAGAGAGTGTGCTTGTAGATTGTTGAGTCAGATATTTTGCGCGGCAAAGTCCTGGTTGGTCAGAGTTTTGACTTGCATGGGTCAGTTTGGCATCTCTCTAGGAATGAAGGTCTGACTGGTAAATATTATGCGTGTGTGTTGTGCTGTGGTGAGTGTTCGTACGTAAAGATTTATCGTCTCGATTAGACGATGAATTGTAGTCGTCACATTTTTAAACTTGATTAAGCGGTCGAAAAATGGTCTGCTGCTGATCTGCCCAGGTCTGCTTCTCTGGGGTCACACGTGCTTTAGGTCCCTTTTAAGAGGTCATGATCACGTGGGGTGGCTCCGGAACGATTTTGCGCCCAAACTTCGAAGTGCACCTACTGGCGACCTGATTGATAGAAATGAACCAATCAGAGGGATAGATTTATGAATGAAAATTGGAATAGTGCATTACTCGAAGAAGGTAAGATTGGGCTAATAGACGAGCCCAATAACTCCATGCAAGGGCGAATGGTTGATTTGAAGATTTGAAGGATCGACTCTGGCGAGAAAAATTTCCTGGCGCGGCACAGGGAGCCGACTTTCCTTGTGGTGGACGAAGCTATTAACTCAATGTATTTGTTCCATCCCAGGTCAGCGGACAATGTGAGATCGAGCAGTCGCAAAGAGGTGCTCTCGTGGAGTTGAGCGTCAGACATTCTAATGGGAGGCAGGGATGGTTCTCTCTGGTGAGTAATAAAGAGCAGTTTTGTTTTTGAGGTGTTAATGATTAACCAGCCAATACCTGCCCCAGTTCACAACAAATTAATTTGTACCTCTCTCTTACAGACAGGATATGACAAGCCTCTTACTCTTCTGACGCTACTTCCATTGAAAATGTTCAGAAGAACTACATTCCTCTGTTCCACCAGTTCTAACCTTCACGGCTAGGACCCACCATGCCACGCCCATTGTAGCGAGCCATCCTTATTCTCGTTGTAGTCCATTTGCTTCTTCCAGTGGAACCGACAATCTTAACCTGTTCAAGTCTAGGGTTAACCGCTATCTTCCCTATCTATCCACATAAACTCTGCCTTTTACTCTGTAACCCTCTACCTCGAGTGTCTCTTGGGTCTTTTACAGACCAAGGAGCCACTCATTTGTTTTCGCTACTGAAATTCACTAAAATAGGTGAAATAAGCATAGAAAGAAAGACTCGACGTTATTGAAGAACTATAACTTAATTAGGCCGAAAACAAGATTTTTTTTGTTCGATGTCCTGCCTGTGACATGTTTACCAGTCACTTCTCTCAAATTCTCAACCTCCCCACAATGCAAGATGTGGCACAAGGCCAGTTTTTAACTTGGGGCGTTCCGAGACCGTAGGCAAAAATTGCCTGCAGACCCCATATACATGGGTTTGGGTTTGTCTACTTTTCCAAATGAGACTCTGCTCTTCGGCATATCCTCATCTGATTTTCTCTCCGACCAGAAGCAAAGAGTTCAACAAAAAAAGGAAGCAATCATGTCGAGCTAGCAGTTTTATGCTGTAGGCAGATACGAAACTAACAGTGCGTATTCTGACAGGAAAAATTAGCACTTTACAACAATAGGTTGTGAGCATCTATTCTGCTTACATATTTTGATAAATTTGTAATTTTTTTTATTAAAAATATTTTTTTTCAAATTTATTTCTTTATAAAATTGTAAATAATAAATCTTTATAATAAATATCATAGTGTACGTGGTTAAACATAATCTTCTAAATAAAGATAAACCTTGCCGAGGTAGTAAAAAAAAGTGTATATTGCAATAATAGCGGTATTAAGGGAATAACTGCCATTTTGACATCGTTCATTTTACGAAGGTTAAACAATAAACATTGCCCACTTTTTTTTTCTTTACAAGCCCAAAACATTTTTCGCTATACGATGCTTTGACTGGTTACTTTTTCAATTAAAAAAATCATTAACTTGTGCTCATTTTTTAATAAGAAAAAAAAGTGTCATCAAATGTCATACTTTCATGAATCTGTCATAAAAGTAAAATATAATTCTAAATAAATCATGAATAAAAAATTGACTGACAATTTCCTGTCTTAACAATTGTGTTACTAATAATAATGTGTTGAAAATAAATAAATTCATTCTTTGTTTCTTGTGAACCTATTCGTTGTCAAATACTATTCCGCCAATCAGTAATCCGAGATTACTTTTTACAACAGCCGTTTAGTCGCGTGTCCTAATTTTGGGGTTTTTTTTTTGGTTCGTGTTTCTCTTCCATCAACTTTGCTCTCCACAGAATCATGGAAAAGAATTTGTCTGCTGTTCTTTACGGAATAAATGATTTACGCATCGTGAGTAAAAAACAAAGACATTTGTCGTTTTCTACAAAATCTTTCAAACTTTTTTCATTTCGTTTCGCCTGTTCTTGCATAGACCCATTCGACATTATTCGTTGCATGCTTTCGTTCGCACTGTGCTGCGAAATGTGAAAATGTAATGTCATTTATTTTAATGTTATTTCAAATTTAGCAGCTTTAGGCTTCCAGAATAAATTAGATAACCTGTTCTAATGTCGTTTCGAGACATACAAAAGAAGATTAACACAGCTCGTCAGTAACTTTCCTAATTTTATCAGTTATATGTAATTATGTTTTTTTTTATATATGAAATGAAATTGATTCAATTCATCATGTCTTACTAAACTTTATTTCTCTCCTCTCCTGAATTTTTTTTCTTAAACTTTTGCTGTAGAATGATTATTTTTTAATCCGTTTATGATGACTTTTTAACAATTTAAAAAAAAACTCTCTATTATCTGTGACTGTAAGTGACATCAACAAAAAAAAAAAAAATATTTTTTTTCTCACTGCAAACTTGTAACAAATTACATTTTGTTACTTTGTAAAATCACATGAAAAATTAACCTAATTAAAATTTGCTCTATAAAAACTAAAAGAAATAAAACTGTTTTCATACGCGGAAATTTAATAATTGTAAAAAAAAAAAATAGATACATTAAAACAAAACTCGCTTTTTACAATGATAAAAAAACCTTTTTCTATTCACAAATGTGGTTTGATAAAAAAAATTACAAAAACATTTTTTTAAATCCCTAATTTTATTTTATGAATGGACCTGTAAGTAAGTGTAACTCAAGTTCAAGTATTATTACCATAATTTTTATTGTTAATTGATAATTAACTTAACTCTGTTAATTAACAACGATGTTAGTGGTTTTAATTAGGTACCCCCCCAAAAAAAAGATAAAATATAAAAAATACATTTTTAAAAATGAAAAATCTTTAATTTCACTCTAAGAACTTAATATTTCCAACAAGCAAAATACTTCACTATATTTAAAACTCAAACAAAAGTAATAGGAATGATTTAATGGTTTAGTGCCCAAAAAATCGGCCCTCTTGATTAATCTGTCAACAATTCTCATTGGTAGAAAAAAACATGTAAATGTAAAATATGATTTTTTTCTGGAACTTTATTTGTGGAAGATTAACCAATTTAATGTTTAAATCTAAATAAAAACAAATATTACTTTTGGTTTCAAAATTCCATTTCAAATTAACTCTCTCTCTCCCTCCCCCTATATATATATTATTATATATATTATATATTATATATATATATATATATATATATTATATATATATATTGTGTATATTTAGGGCAGCAATTTTTCATTAATGCATGTTTCATTAAACAATATAGACAAGTTTTGTCTATTTATTTTATGTTCCTTTCATATTGTCTGATAGGCTTATTTCCATTATCATTGAAATTCTTGAAGCGATATACATAAAACTGTTGAAACCTAACCTGAACAAAATAAACTACGAAGTCTCCACAAATATTCTTAAAGGCCTATAATTGATAACAGAAGCCATTGGTTTATACCAATGGCTTCCCATGCTTAATACTTCATGTTTTCAGTCTCATGTGGTCATGTGTGACGTCACGAGCTGCGATGCGATTTTTGCTTCCGTGTCTCGTATACACGAGTTCTTCCATGTATTGTTTAATATATTGAAATGTAATTGTCATCTTTGATAATGGCTTATGTAAGCCGGAAGCTTAGATTGGATTTAAACATGTATCAATATGGTGATTTCCTTTTGTCTTTCAATGAAAGTAACTTACTTAAAATACTTACAAAACTTGTCTATATTATTTAATGAAACATGCATCAAAATATATATATATATATATATATATATATATATATTTATTTATTTATTAAATTTTTTTCATATAGACTCCATATCCTGCAAAAGAAAATTGACATATATTGACTATGCAGATGACCTAATCACTAATGCCACAGTTTTCCTGCATTATCTAGAACCTGTTGCTAACTCTATATCAATGCCTCTAAAACAGAATTCAGCAGGTTCAACCAGCAAGGCTCAATACAAACTGTCTCAGCTGAAGCAATAAAATCTGTTGAATCTTTTACATACCTTCAAAGCGAAATAATTTACTCACGACAAAAATGCAACTTTGTTTTGGTGCATTTAGTTGCACCTTAACTGACGAGAACTGAACAATTTTGTTTGTAAGCAGGCCACACGTGGAACATCACTTCCTTTTTTCAATTTGTTTGAAAAAAAAATAGTTACATTTTAAGAGGTGAAGTATAAGGATAAAGAAATAAATAATTATATATATATATTTCTGACCCAACCACATCTAAGTCCCACTCCCACCAGTACCATCCACCACCCAGTGTTCTATAAGTTTGTTGTGGAGTTCATTATACTACACCTTTTTCAACCTGCCTAAAGAGATCTAGTGATCGAAATCAGGGTAGCATGGTTGTGAGAGATTTTTTTACAAGGTATATATATATATATAGCAAATATTATGTTTTATCAAAAGATGATCGACCAGTGTATTTCTAGAAGATAATGATTTTTATGCAGTCTTTAAAAATATATATGGGTTATATAATCTTCATCTTTAAAACTTAACATCTGATTTCTTCCCAACACTCCATTTTTTTTGCCTCTGATTATACCACTGCAGATTTTGAATTTAAAATGTCCTCCTTAAATTAAGTCAGATTATACTTATGGTGACCTACTTTTTTGTAGTAGCAGATATGTCACATACACAGTGTTACTCCAAAAATCAACCAATGAACTTGTGACCATTTCGTGACCTTTTTCTACTATACTTTCCTTACCAATTCCTTTTTGATGAAAAACAGACTTGACCATGTGTAAAATATTTTACAATTGACCTAAAAAAATAATGATGAAATGTGAAGTAATTTTGTAAATTGCATTGTACTTAGAAAATCTTAAAAACTTCCAGATGCTCTGTTGTCTTCTTCCTGTTTAATATTTACTGAAAATAAAAGTAAAATTAAGGAAAGATAACAGTTAATCTTGTATTTATATTTTTTTTTTGTGTGTCTACTTATATTCTACAGCGTAGACAACACACACACAATTCACAGGTGTGACTTGTGTGACAGAGATTGTCACTGTGCATTGGCCTGTTCAGCCACAGATGTGTTTGATCAAATCCATGGTCATTGATGACCAGCTGAGGTCTCTATAATTTTTAATTGTTTCATCCCAAGCAAGGCACCTTTTTTCTTTGTTATCAACCTTGACTACATATTGGGAAACTTGCCTCAACAAACATCATCCTCTATATTTTACTTTATCACAAAGACTCCATATCCTGCAAAAGAAAATTGACATATATTGACTATGCAGATGACCTAATCACTAATGCCACAGTTCTCCTGCATCATCTAGAACCTGTTGCTAACTCTATATCAATGCCTCTAAAACAGAATTCATCAGGTTCAACCAGCAAGGCTCAATACAAACTGTCTCAGCTGAAGCAATAAAATCTGTTGAATCTTTTACATACCTTGAAAGTGAAATAAATTCTTCTGAAAAGGATGTGAAATTTCGTATAGCTAAAGCCTGGGCCATCTTGAATAAAATGAATTTAGTATGGAAATCTGATCTACAAGACAACCTGAAATGTAGAATCTCTTGAGCAACTATAGAGACGGTGTTAATGTATGGCGCCATACATTAACATATTGGACATTAACTAAAAGCCTAGAATCTAAGCTTGATGGAACCTACACTTGGATGTTGATAACTATAGATAACATCTCTTGGAGACATCAACCAACATCAATCACAGCTCTATGGACCCATCCCTGATATTTCTACCATCATGACGTATTGCACCATCTTGATTAAAGCTATCTGTAATTTGTTTAAGATCTAATCAACTTATTAATAATAAAAAAAAACTAAGGCATTGTTTCTTCTAGTAACAATGTTATACTCTATGTCAAAGCCTCTAAGAACTGAATTCATAGGTTTCAACCAGCAAGGTACAATACAAACTGTCTCGGGTGAATCAATAAAATATGTCAAATCTTTTACATACCTTGAAAGTGAAATAAATTCTACTGAAAAATGATGTGAAAATTTGTATAGCTAAAGCCTGGACCGCCTTGAATAAAATGGATGTAATCTGGAAATCTTATCTACCAAGAGCTGGTCAGACATAACAATGCTGAAAGTCCTGAGAGACACTGCCATCACATCATCCTGGAGGAGGTTGTCTTTTACTTGTGCCCCCATCCCAATGATTGATGACGTTGGGGCCTATATGTTGAGTCAACTAAAATATATTTTGTACCCAAACCTCCTTCCATGGAGGATTTCTGGGAGAGCCGTGGCATAGAGTAAGAAATCATATGATCAGTTATTCACATGTTTAGGGCTTTCCTAGGATTTTTTATTAATGAAATTAGTGACCTTCAGTTTCCAATGTCATTGCAAATTGGCATGGCCATTTAGTTTTACTCGGCCATGATTTAAACCAATTGGAAATGTTTTTCCCATTATCATCTGCTTATGAAGGCAATATCACCACATCATAAATTTGCTCAGAAAATGTTTAATATCTCAAAAGCTATTCATTTTAAGATCGTAATTAATCAGTATTTGATTTCTTTTACATATACATATACATATGTATAATATGACCACTTTCATAAAATTTTATTTTTTAAGTTTGTTTAATGACATATCAACTCCTTATGGGTCATTTAATGTTAAAATTTAATTTTTTTGTGAGCTTTGGTAATTTTTTTTTTCTTTTTTTTTTTTTTTCTAATAATATCTTGCTGGTAACTATTTTACTATGAAAATGTATAGCTTATTCTTATTCAACAATATATATATATTTTTTTTTTTTACAATGATATTCACTCTTTACAAAGTAGAGGGTTATATCTGGAGGTCATTTGTGTGTATAATATATGACAATGGTTTACCACAGCCTTGAACAGGTTAAGATTGTAGTTTTCGGGGAAACGTCCTATTGGGAATTGGATCCACAGATCAGTTGTTCATGGGAAGAAGCTTTTCGAGTGGAACTTACTTCTCACCGATGGGATACAGAGGGAATGTGGGTAGTTGGCTACTATGTAAGTGTCATGGTATATTCTTGCTGTAAAGGTTTACCTTGACAGGACCAGGGAATGAAGTTCTTCCGAGCACTTTCAGTGTAAATTGTGGTAGAGAAGTGAGCGGCTTACCACATCTTGCCTATGGGAGAGTTTGGAGGGTGGACAATAGTTTGTAACCCACAAGGGTTCAGACATGCTTTGGAACTCTATCAAGGCTGGTGAGTGAGGTCTGATAGCTCTTGTCCATATATGATAAGAGTACTCCAATTTTGGCCTGATCTGGCTCTTGTAATGGTAGAAGATAGCAGGAGGAATCATGTACATACTGGAACAGTACAGGGAGCCAACCATTTTACCTACATTCTTAGCAATGGATCATATGTATGAGTTCCACTTGAGATCAGGTTTGAGTTTGAGGCCCAATAGTCATGGTGCTTCCTCTAAGAGGACATCTGTTCATCCTGATTGGTGGAGTTTGGAGTTAGATCGGCGATGATGGAATATAACCAGCCTTGTCTTCAAGGCACTGAATGTAACCAGGTAGATTTTACTCTATTGGGTAGTTTGTGCAAGATTGAAAGAGAATTCAGTCACCAATCTCTGACCATTGAGTTTTAGAGGTGCATGTGTATTTTGTCATATCATCAGCATAGATATTTACAAATGATCTGAGTATATTCTTAGGCAGATCATTTATGCAGATCAAAAAGAGGGTTGGTCCAAAAGATGATCCCTGGGGGATGCCCACATTGACCTCTAGGGCTTCAGGGACTTACCTGTTAATGATTCCATACCTGGAGTTTATATATATATATATATATATATATATATATATATATATATATATATATATAAACATGATGCTTATTTTAAATATGAGTAACCACTAAAAGTAATATCTGAAATAAAGATATTGTATGAAAAAATCCATTAATTTTTTTAGATATATATATATATATATATATATATATATATATATATATATATATATATATACCTATAAAAGGCAGGGTGTGTGTGTAACAAATGCACGCCCACAATTTTCGACGGTTAATGGGAAGGCCAAGACCGACTTGGCATTTCACAACTCCTATCGATAGTGGATATAATCGATTTTTTTTCATGCTTCTACAGCAGTTTTCATGTAGCTTGCAGCCATTTTCTACTGGCCAGAGTGAGAGCCAATAGCTGGCTGCCACGAATAAGCAGAAAGATTCTATTGGTCAGCGTGAGAGCCAACAACTGACTGACACGAATGTTAACTAGCATACTAGCATGCAAAAAAAATCGATAGCTGCATTCGTCACAAGTAGGAAAAATTTAAATCTGCACAGCACTTTACTCCAATTGGCTCATTCGTTTGCTTAAACTCAACGTTGATTCTGATTCCGCAGAACTGGGTTGGATGTGAAAAAGTATTTGTTGTTAACATTCTTTTTTTCATTCGGTTTTTCCAGTTACGAGTCCTTTTTAAAAACTGATCATTTTGTGTTCATTTTGTTTAGTTCTTTTTTCATAACAGATTTAATATAGAGCTTAGAAAAAATTAGTGTGAGATAGGCAAGAAGTAAGGCATGTAGCAACATCAGCACGGCAAAGGGCTCTCCTTTAAAGGCAAGGAAGGGCAAAAATATTTTAAGTCAAGTGATAGTGATTGCTGTATGATTAGGTGTCCAGGACAATAGATTACTCACAAGTTCTTGTTTTGTTTGTCAGCAGAGTGTCCTTCAATGTGCATTCTGTGTTCACATAATATTATTCAAATAAATCATTGATATCACCCCCACCTAAAATTTGTTACACTCTAAAAATGTTTTCTGACTTTAAATAACCTGCAAACGGTTGATAAGCTGTAAAAATCAATCCTGTAAACAAATGGACATTTTTGGCTAACATGTGGATTGTCCTTCAGGAAAAGATTAATCAATTATTGTTTTTTATTTTTTTAAAAATGTTAATTTTGATATTGTATCATTGTATCTTATATCTTTGTAGGAAAATCAGCCTATTCCAGAGCCTGGTCCTGGGGGTAAGTTCCTTGTCTGTATATTTGTGTGTGTAATATATAATATTTATTATCGGGGATTAAAACAAAAACATTAATAATCACTAGACACTAGCAATCGTGTTTCAACACTAAAAATGTGTCTCCTCGACATTTATTTTGTCTTCTCTTTCTCTTTCAAAAAAAAAGGAAGTATTCTGCCTTTTAAATTAATTGTTCACTCACCAGTAATTTGCCATTGCCTGAGGAGACACATTTGTAGTGTTGAAACATGATTGCTATTGTGTAGAGATTTTTAACATGGTTTTGTTTTTATCTCCAATAAATAATATTTAGGTCTACTTTGTATTGTGCCCTCTTTTAAATTAAATGTTGTGGATAGTGGGATTATACTCCATTTGGTTCTTATATTACCCATAAATATATATGTATATATATATATAAATATAGTTTTAAGGTATGCTATGTTTATGGGATAAAGTTCTCAATATCAGAGATAGAGTATATGTAAATCATACTTATTATAAAACCCAGGTTGTGTGTGTCTGTTCGTTTATATATTGGATTGGATTTCCTACATTTTTCAACCAATTTCAACAAAACTTCATAGTACTACGTAAAATTACCTTGCAGTGGTTCTGACAGTGCCAAAAATTGGAAAAACACAATTGTTTTTGCACAAAATCAATTTGAAAATACGATTAAGAGGCATGAACAACTCATATCGAGTTATACTTATTATAAAACCCAGGTTGTTTGTGTGTGTGTGTTCGTTTATATCAACCGATTTCACAAAACTTCACCTTTTTTTTTTTTTTTTTTTTTGCAGGTAGTGTTTCTTATTGTCTTGCACACTTTTTTCTTAATTTTTACATTCAGAATGCTTTAAAAATTCCATTTACAAGACAATTGTTTATAATAAAATTCTATTCAATCGGTAGACTCATAACAATTGAAAACAATGTTTTTGTTTGAGTTTGGGTTTGACCAATTCGTAAGAAAAAAAAACAAACCCTAATTAAGACATGCATGTCCGTCAACTTTAAACAATAATCTTTGTCAATTTTATTTGTCAGTCTTTATGATGGTTGATACTTGATCTATCTCTTACTGTTACATCTACTGCTAGTATATATATAAAAGTGAACAATGAAGTCAACACTCAGAGGCAACAGACTGTTTCATGCTAGATGCAATAATCAGACCACCTGTGGCCTGATGATTGCATTCATTGTGAAACAGTCTGTCACCTCTGAGTGTTGACTTCAATGTTCACTTTTAATTTTTATATAATATATATATATATATATATATATATATATATATATAGGCAGCATAAATTTTATATTATAAAGAGATAATCATACATTGAATCAATTAGTAATATTAATGCGATTAATGGCAAAATCTCTTCGCTAACAGACTTAATATAAGCATTAAACTACTAACAATCCACTGAATGATGCAATCCTTATGTATAAAATTGTTGCCAAATGGCTCTGGTGTATTTTTAGAGCAGCTAGTACTTTCAAAAACCTCATGTCCTCATCATCAGGCTGTAATTTTTTCCTTTAAAATCAAAACTTGCAGACGAAATAAACGTTTTGTAGACCGAAAGATGTTTTTTTTAAAAGTGTTATTTATTAACGGTTATATAATATTGGAACGTGCAAGTTGCAACACTAAAGTTCAAATATTTCAAGTGAAAATTTTTATATTCTAATTTGGTAAATCCACAAATTCTTTTGTTGTAAGTGTTTTCCAGTTAACGTGACATAGACTAAGTACATAGTTCAATTAATAGAGTGATGTGTCTTAGTAGTTTTTTTTTTCTCCAAAATTTTGTACTGCGGATCAATTGCTTTCATAAACGTATTATATTAGGCAGCATAAAATTTATATTATAAAGAGATAATCATACATTGAATCAATTAGCAATATTTTGATTTTTGATTCACAATAGTTTTGCTTTTAAAGGAAAAAATTACAGCCTGACAATGAAAACATGAGGTTTTTGAAAGTACTAGCTGCTCTAAAAATACACCAGATCCATCTGACAATAATTTTATACATAAGGATTAGCAAAAAATATCTAACCTGACTGCTTTTTATTATGATCTTTGAAATTATCAAGGGGTTGAACTGAATTATTTTTGGCATGTCTTCAACAAACAGTGTTACCTCATGTTGCCCATCTTGCCAATAGTGAGAAGCATTATGGTTTTATAATACAGAAGTTGCAAGGAAGAATATATGGCCAGACAAATTTTGATATAAACAGATGTTTTACAGTAATATTTCTGGATGCTAGCATTTTAAGCAAAATATCGTTTTTCTTTTAAGATGAGATTCACATATGGAGTTTGGAAAATATTGATTGATTTTAAAATCTTGTCTCCATTTCCTCCATTTTTCCCTGAACATTATCATTATTAACAGGATTACCTCCCTTGTTAAGAAGTCCTTAACACTTTATTTTGTCCTGGATTTTATCATTTGCAGAAGTTCAACTGGCAATGCAGGATGTTGGCATCTGTGGTTCTGATGTCCATTATTGGACACATGGAAGAATTGGTGATTTTATATTGACGTCACCAATGCTTTTGGGTCATGAAGCTAGTGGAGTGGTCAGCAAACTTGGTTCAGGGGTCACAAACCTTGCAATTGGTGAGTAGATATATGAGGTTTGATCAAAAAGTATCGGGACATTTACTATGGTAATGGAGCTAAAGTATGCAGAGTTAAGCCATATGGCACAAATTGACGTTGAACTCTGTCATGCATACGCACTAAGTTATAATGTTCTTGCTCACTTCCATTGTTTATTACAGTGTTTAGAAGGAAAGAGTGTAGAGTTTGGTTGTCTTACCACATGCAAACGTTCCAAAAGAGACTATGGTTTGCGCTAGTTTTTGGCCAGGTCTGACAGTCACCATATTCCCCAGATCTCCACCATTATGACATTTCCTCTTCAAAAATCAAATCCCCACTTGAAAGGAACAAGATTTCAAGGCGACAAGGAAATCCTAGAGATTGTGATGAGACAACTGCTCACTATCTGTCTATCTATCTTGATCTGTCTATCTATCTTGATCTAGCTATCTATCTATCTTGATCTAGCTATCTATCTAGCTATCTTGATCTGTCTATCTATGTAGCTAATAAGTTCCAGGAATGCTTCCATGAATGGAAATGATGATGGATAAATTGTGTCTTCAGAAGGGAACTACTTTGAAGGGGATTAAATTCTGAATTGATATGTGTTGTTTTCTTTTAGCACCAGTCCTGATAATTTTTGATCAGACCTCAAAACAATGTTTATTTCTTTTAATTTCTCTTTCATTTACTCTTGTAACAGGTTCTTTTACAGTGGGATCAGTTACTGAATGAGCCATCCAATCTTGTTTGATTGGAATGTTTGAGAATTTTATTGGACATTATTTACATTATTTGGACTATTGTCCTCATCTTTGTCGCCATATTTATTACAATGTTTCGGCAGTTGTACACTCGGCCTTTTTCAGGTGGTTGGAATGTTGAACTGAACCCTTTATTTTGCTCAATGGGGTAGAGTGTTCTAGTTCCACGTGCCATGTTTAATGGATGTCAGTTATCAGTTATCTTCTGTTAATTTCTCTCTGAAAGTTCTCCACTGCCTTAACCGGGTATTGAACTCACACTCTTTGGGTCCTGTCACTGGATCTAACTAATGCCTTTATCCACTGTGCCATGTGTCCTCAAGAAAAACTTGGAGAGGTGAACTAACAGGAGATAACTGATAACTGACATCCATTAGACATGGCACGTGAAACTAGAACAGTCTACCCCAGTGAGCGAAATAAAGGGTTCAGTTCGACATTCCAACCACCTGAAGAAGGCCGGAGCGTACAATGGTTGAAACGTTGTGATAAATATGGCGACAAAGATGAGCACAATAGTCCGAATAATGTAAATAGTGTACATAATACCTCATCTCAGAAATATAGACAGATACTGAAAGGTCAAACCGTTGTGATAAATATGGCAACAAAGATAAGGACAATAGTCCAAATAATGTACCTAATACCTCATCCCAAAAATATAGGCAGATACTGAAAGGCCGAAATGTTGTGATAAATATGGCAACAAAGATGAGGACAATAGTTCGAATAATGTAAATAATGTACATAATACCTCATCTCAGAAATATAGACAGAATTTAATTGGCGTTAAGTAAAAATTTCTATGTCAGAGTTAGTTTACTGGTCAAAAAAAGACTATATGTAATCCATTCTAATAGTGATTCAAAATGATATTGCTATAAATTAGAACAACAACAAAAAACACTGAATATTAACTGACCTGAGTCTCACACTAAAGAAGACAAGGATATTAAACTTGAATTCATCTGAACGTCTTGGACAAAAAATGATAATGACAATCATTCATTAAATGTTAATGACATCTCAGTCTCAAAAAAAGATGAACTGCTTTTATTATTTGCATATAAAAGTGTTTCTTATTTATTATCAAATTTGTGTTTAATGCTACTATTAATTGTTTCTTCAAGGTGATCGCGTGGCTGTTGAACCTGGTGTGCCTTGTCGGATGTGTAAATTTTGTAAGAATGGACGCTATAATCTTTGTTCCGACATCCGTTTCTGTGCTACTCCTCCAATCCATGGAAACCTGGCAAGGTATTATTGCCATGCTGCTGATTTCTGTTACAAGTAAGTAAAAGATAATGTTTTTATTCATCTTCTTTGAACTTTTGATATGAAGTTTTTCCATTTTCGTTCTGCATTGTTTTCTTGTGTCCTTCTTGCTTTCAACCCATCCTTTGAGTATCAGATTTTCCAAGCCCTCTTCCCTTATTATGTAACCTAGAAATTTCAATTCTCTCTTTTTGAGGTTAAGTATTAATGTCCTTTTCTTTTCCATTTTTTCTAAAACTTTCTCGTTGCTCACGTTTGGTCCAGGGCATTCTCAGCATCTTTCTGTAGAATCATATTTTTGTTGCTTCAAGTCTCTTTTTCATTTTTGTGGGAGATGATTATTCTTGCCAGGATCCATCCCTGCACATTTATAAATCTGTCATTTGTTCACACAATGAGTCTTGCCGCCGTATCTGGCCAGGTACTCCTGCTATATATCTCGAGATGCTTGACAAAATCAAAAGAATGGTCTGTAATGTTATTGGTCCTGACCTGGCATCTCAACTTCAGTTACTTTCTCACCATTGTGATATGAATTCCCTCTGTCTTTTCTATAAATATTTTCATGGTTATTATTCTGTTGAGTTCTCCTCCTTGGTACCTCAACTGCTTGAATTTAAATGTACTACTAGATTGGCAATTAGGTCTCATCTTTTTATTGTTGAAATTGGTCGATGTAACTAAGTTCTATTCTAATAGTTTCTTCTCTTGCACTTCTCACCTGTGGAACTCTCTTCTGGTTTCTTGCATCCCTACCACCTAAAATTTTCAAAAATTTAAATGCAGCATCAATTGCCAACTTAAAGACAATCTATAATCTGCAGCCAGTGCTTGCGCATTAAACACATTTGTTCATATAAGGAAGATTACAACAAATATATAGGACAACTTTCACTTTCTTAATATGAATTTCCCACTCAAAATAATCAATGAATCTATCAGCAAGGCTTCTAAACATAACAGAAACAATTTCCTTACTTCCAAAACTAAAAAAGAATAATTCCAGAATCCCAAGTGTCTTTTATTTTAATTATAACATCCACAAACTTTCCCACACATTAACCAAACAATTCTAACATTTAAAACTAGACAATACTATTAGTAAATTATTTAGTGATAACCCCCTACATGTGAGGTGACAGCCCCACAACTTCTTCAGACTTTTAACATCATCCAACATCTGCAACACATCACCTTGCCAAGGGAATGTCATCTGCAAAAAAATCTGGTACTTGGTCTGCAAACACGTTACTCACAGCATTTATACCACCCTTGAATTTAAGCATGCTACTAGATTAGTAACCAGGCCTTATCATTTTATTGTTGAAATTTCTCAATTCAAATTTCCATAATATAGATTTAACTTAATTCACTACTATATTTCCATAATATACACTCCTCTCCAACTTTTCGGGTGTCAAAGGTGTAACTGGTTCTAATTTCTATATTCTCTCCCCGTCTATGATCACTTTACACTGTCTTGTTTGTGGTTTATAAACTTTCCCCTGCACTTGGGTCTCCCCAGCCCTCTTTCCATTGCATCCTTTTATCTACATATTTGGGGTTGTTTTTGAGACCCTTCATGTTCCTCCTTTTGATTTTGGGTTGGTGTTTCATTCTTCTTGTGACCCCAAGTTGGTGTCATAGGATTGGTGTTCAGGTTTGATTTTATGGGGTTTCTTCCCTTTGGGATGGATACCTTCCACCCTCCCCTAGTCCCTGTCTCATGCCTTTGGTCAGACTGGGACATTGGAATGGATGCATTCTGGGGTGGTTGTTTTTTTTTTTAGCTTTCACAGTTGAATTTCTGTTTCTGGCATGAGCTCAATCTGCACTGGGGTTGATGGGAGGGACACCCAACGTCTTCATCTGCTGATGAGATGGGCTATTTTCATGTGGGGTGATTTGGGATTTTATTGTTTATTAATTATTTGCTCTGTAACCTTACTTATTCTAAAACACTGTGTGTGTGTGTGTGTCTGTAACATTTATATATTGGATCGGATTTCCTACATTTTTCAACCGATTTCAACAAAACTTCACAGGACTACCTTGTGGTGGTTCTAACAGCGCCAAAAATGGGAAAAATATAATTGTTTTTGCACAAAATCAATTTGGAAACACTATTAAGAGACATCGTGAAAATGGAAGGGGGACAACTCACATCGGTTTGTTTTGTGTGTGTGTGTGTGTGTGGGTTCCTTTAAATATGGGAGCGGATTTCCTATATTTTTCAGCCGATAAAACAAAACTTCACTTTTTTTTTTTTTTTTGCAGGTAGTGTTTCTTATTCTCTTGTACACTTTTTTCTTTATTTTTAACATTCAGAATGCTTTAAAAATTCCATTTACAAGACAATTATTTATAATAAAATTCTATTCAATCGGTAGACTCATAACGATTGAAAACAATGTTTTTGATTGAGTTTGGGTTTGACCAATTCAAAAAAAAAAAAAAAAAAAAACCTAATTAAGATATGCGTGTCCGTCAACCTTAAACAATAATCTTTGTCAATTTTATTTTTCAGTCTTTATGATGGTCCATACTTGATCTATCTCTTACTGTTATATCCCCGGGCAACGCCGGGCTCTACTGCTAGTAATAAATACATTGAGCTCTTTTTGTGGATCAGTTTTAATATTTTATATTACTAGGATCCACTTGGATTATATACCAATGGATTTGTTACCTTTACTATATATATATATATATATATATATATATATATATATATATATATATATATATATATATATATATATATTATAAGTTCTATTATAATAGTTTCTTTTCTTGCACTTCTCACCTGTGAACTCTTTTCCACCTTCTTCTTTTCCTGTCAACTATGATTTTCAAAATTTTAAGAGCAACATTACTTGGCATCTTCTGTCTTCTTAGACCCTGTTCTTGATGGTTTTTCTTCTTACTGATTAGGTATTTGCAATGAATAGGCATCTCAGAGATCAGGAAGGACATAAAAATTGTCAGCACCAGAACTGAATACGAGATGAAGATGAGTAAGGCACCAACAGAATTTCCACATGCAAGGGACAAATGTATCCAAAACACCAGAAACACAAGCTACACCCTTGTGCAAATTAATTGAAACAACCGCTTTAGTTTCTTTTCTTTCACCATACAGTCAGTTTTAGACCCACTGGAGTGTCAGCATGTAATTAATTTCTATTTTTACCTCAGATTATATCATTTGCAGTGGTGTGCAGTAACATGAATCTATTTTTGAGTGTATGATGAAATTTGTTTGGCCTTGAAAAATATTGCATCAGATTTTATTTTATCACGTTCAGACACTATTGTTTTGACTTTCGATTAGTTGTCCTACAGCCATTGTCTGCGATGGGCATTACTCCAGGGAAGCATACAAAAATTGTAATGCTGCACAAACACAAGCCTTACCAGTGAGTAGATCAAAGTACTATAGACTGACCTGGAAGCTCTCCTGATTTAAATCCAAGCAAGAATCTGTGGTCAATCTGCAAAGAATGACTTTGTAGAATGGACATATGAACTACTAACATGTGCACTGGGTCATGTTTCATTGGGAAAATATGAAGAAAAGTAAATAATAATATAATTATTCATTTTGTTTCAATTAATTTGCACAAATGTGTAGGTTGAAAAGATTTCAGGTGACGCTGAGTAACCTTCCTACTTTAAATCGGACAGAAATCCTTTATGACAAACAGCAATCACGTCATACCCTGAGCACGGCACACTGCCTACCTTTCGCCTCAGTAAAGTCTTTTTTATTCAATTTCATTCTCAGTTTCCCTTGAATCTTAGCAGGATTATCATTTTTGCTTGAGGTGAAATAATTAAAAAAAATAACATTGGTTAGTGATGAGCCATTTTTTTCATAGTATCTATTTGTAGGAAGAGGTTAATTTCAGTTTGTATGAGATGGTTTTCTTTTTGTTTATTCAAACACTTGTTGAGAGGAACATTGGCATAAAAGGAACTGATATCTAGATTAGCCATATGTTGGTTTATCATACCTATCCTCCTTAGTCTTTACTCAATGTTGTTGGAATGTGAAGGGTTAATTGTTTTAAGAAGTGATGTTAAAAATTTTTGTCATGGCTTTCCCTAGTTGATGGTGATCACTATCAGTTTCAGGTATTAGAATGTCTTTGTGCATTTTAAATAGACCATAAGGCCTCGGTATTTTAGGCTTGTATTTTACAAAAATAGAAAGGAGTGTAAGACAAGGTGTGTCTTCTCACTATATAATGAGGTGATTCTGAGAGAATGACTTATTTCTCAAAAATAATATGCATTTTTTTACTGTAAATTACAGGTGATAGTAGGTGTGCATATTGTAAATAGGTTTAAACAAAAATATTTTTTGTTTTTGATTTATAATAATAAATACGTACTTGTTGTTCTAAAATAAGAAAGATATTATTCCAATTTCTATTTTAAATCCAACAATAATAATTGTAACATTTTTTTGTCAATAAATTTATGTTTATCCGTAAATATTGGGCTATGGATGTTATTCTAATAGATATATCAAACCTCTTCATAAAAAGAAGACTCGAGTTTGCTGAAGCTTTAAATGTGTTTCCAGGATATGTGGTTTTCCTAAGTTCTTTTGCCTTCATCCTTATTTCCACAGTACTTATGGAACATCTATTTGATCATCTTTCATTCACAAATTCAATTAAACTTTGTTCCATATTTGAATATTGAGCTTTTCTTCCCTTACCTATAGCTTTGGCACTTGATTTATACTTTTTTTTTAGTTCATTTTTATTCTTTCCCTATAAACGTATGTTAGCCTCATTCAACTCCTATTCTCTAACTGCAGCTCCGTTTCCTATTCTTTCTGTTAATTCTATTAGTTTTCGGTTAACATTTGCGCTATAACTTGCAAATTTGGTGACATTTTGGTGGTAAAATTAAACGTTATATTTATCGGGAAAACTGCCTGTTAATTTTCAACATTATTTTAGCTGCTTAGTTTTGATTTTATTTCCTAATGTTAAGGGCGACAAAATGTCTTTGTAATTATTTTTTTGTTTTTCTTTTTCTGGACAAAATTTATAGATGCGTATTATACATAGAGGTAGATATATTTCTTAATTTTTGGATTATTTTTTGGAATGCGTATTATTTATGGGTGCATATTATTTTCAAGAAATTACAATAGAAGTCCTATCAGGATATGTTCTCTTTCCCAATGTATGAAAGTACACACAGTGGACTAGCCTGGAATTTGAACCTGGCTCGGTGGATTACATTTTCCATGCTGATACTGTGCATCCTCATTATTTCAACACGTGTATTCATGTTTTAATACAATATTTTGCCTGATCCATTCTGTTTGGCATAAGACTACAATTTCTCGTTCATTATTAATGTCTTAGAAAGAAAACAATATTTGTGTGCTTTGAAAAGACAATATCACAGAACAATTCTACATTCCCTCCTGCATATGTTTTATTTCTTTCCAGATACTTTTTATAAACTTAATAGAAACAAACAAAATCCTTTTTTTTTTTTATTACTCATGACCATCATTGTTGCTAATGATGAAACTCAACACACAAGAATAACCAGGTCTGGTGCAAGGGTCACGTACCCCACTCTTTCCCGGATTCTTTTATACAGCCCCTTTTCACTGAACCTATGATGAAGGCCCCACACACTCTACATCATCTCAATTAGGTAGTATTCGTATAAAATACAAATTTTATTGTAACCTAATTATCTACAATCATGGATCCTACGCAATATAGGTGAATAATTCAACTAGAAAAATTGAAAATAAATACAATGTATCTAAAAATACGAATTAGAGAAACATATCATAATAGATGATTCCATCTTAAATTAATCAACAATTTTAGCATGAACTTGAGATTCTTCTTGTTGAAAAATTTTAACACATTTAACATTATGGATAAAAAGTAGTGAATTTTATAAATTGTTTCTTCCAGACTTAACATGAGCAAAATAAATTCACCAATTTGGACACTCCCACCCTAAAAAAAAAACTCCAGAACGATGTCAAAATCCGTGAAGCGACCCCTAGTGATCAATTAGGGAATTAAGGAGGAGTTAACTCCGACATTTTAATACTGGTCAGTTGTGCTTAGTTTAATTTGTAACATATATAAATGTAGGTAGAAAAAAAGCAAATGTTGATATGATAGCGAGGGTCACAAATCACTGCCTGATGTTCACAATCAGGCTTGAAGGGCCGGGTTGGGAGTTGGTGGGGTTAGTATGTACCGACCCTGAAAATAATGACTCGTATTCAGAACACTCGCCAATCTCCTTTGTAGCATTTTTTCTTCTACTAATCTCCCTTGACTTTCTATTGATAACCTCCCTTGGTTGTCACTCTCCTGATGTATAATCTAGCCATCTTATTAGTTCACTAGCAGCATGGCCCGGCATTGCCCATGCTTGATTCAAAAATCGTATAACTCATACAACAATCACTATCACTTGACTTAAAATATTTTTGCCCTTCCTTGCCTTTAAAGGAGAGTCCTTTGCTATGCTGATGTTGTTACATGCCTTACTTCTTGCCTATCTCACACTGCTAATTTTTTCTAAGCTCTATACTAAACATTAAATCTGGTATGAAAAAAGAACTAAACAAAATGAACACAAAATGATCAGCTTTAAAAAAGGACTCGTAACTGGAAAAACCGAATGAAAAAGAATGTTAAAAAATACTTTTTTTACACCTAACCCAGTTCTGCGGAATCAGAATCAACGTTGAGTTTAAGTAAGCGAATGAGCCAATTGGGGTAAAGTGCCATGCAGATTTAAATTTTTCCCGCTTGTGATGAATGCAGCTATCAATATTTTTTGCATGCTAGTTAACATTCATGTCAGTCAGCTGTTGGCTCACACGCTGACCAGTAGAATCTTCCTGCTTATTCGTGGCAGCCAGCTATAGGCTCTCACTCTGGCCAGTAGAAAATGGACGCAAACTACATGAAAACTGCCGTAGAAGCATGAAAAAAATTGATTATTTCCACTATCGATGGAAGTTGGGAAATGCAGTCGTTCTTAACATTCCCACTACCTTGGTTCATGTGCATGTACATTTTGGTGCAAATCCGTCGAAAATTGCAGTCGTGCATTCGTTACACACACACACACACACACACACACACACACACATCCTGTCTTTTATAGATAGAGATTAAAGCCTTTTGAAAGTCTCACATTTTCCTGTCATCACTTCAACGAAAATAACAAATTTTTAAACAACAACAAAGGTAAATTTTTTGATTAGTCACAATACTCAGGAAGGTTAAAAAAAAAATTACCATATTTGAGCCGGTAAATTACATTGGATTTATTTTTGTTATTACTTTTTTTCTTTGGCAAATTGTGCACAGGACACAAACACATTTTTGGGATAGATGATTTTCCCGTTTGCCATGGCTTCTTATATTTGGAATACAGAGGAAATGAAAGTAATATGAAGAAGTCAGTGTTACTGTTAAAATAGTCATGATGAAAGTGTGGTGGCCTTTTACCAGATTTATTTAATTTTGTTTAGGAACCCAAACTGATGTAAAATAAGGGACAAGGCAAAGGTATCAATATATATAATAATTGTATTCAACAAAGCATACAATAAAGAATGTATACAAAAAGCATGCAAAGAGTAAGGCGAGAGTTGTCTCTGTTTGACTATCAAAGTTATCAAAGTGCTCTGAAAAGGAAATGAAAGAGTTACTAGTCTATTATAAATGTTTTTAAACAGTTCTGCCGTGCAAGAGGAAAATTATGTAAGTATGATAGAATATGCAGTTTGCGAGTTGAGTGAGAAGATGGGCACATAGCTTCAACTGTCGTGGATTTCTGTGGCAGCTAAAATCTCACTGGTGCGTCTCCTGTTTTGCTTTTATACGTGGTCATTGGATCAGGAGTGCTGCGTGGGAAGAATCATTCTCCACATGCAGAGAATCTGATTGGTCAGTATCGACCAATCAGTACATGAGTTTTGGGGAGACTTCTGGGAGCTGGTTCTCCCAAAAGTGCACAAAATCTACGATATGAAAATATAGCGATTTTTAAAATTGTCAAATCAGATAGCAGCGTTGCTTCCTGTCCAATGAATGAATGCTGTTGGTGATTTGAATTTGTAAGGGGGTGTGTGTGTGTGTGGTGATGATCGCCATAAAAGAGGTGTGTGGTAGGAAGTGAAGATTATAAGGATAAGAAAGAGAGAAAACTGTTATAATGAATACCAACTGCTGTAGCTGTGACTTGAACTTTGTGCTATAATTAAATGTTTCCCTCCTCCAATTCAATAGGTCCCAATGATGCAGTAAAATGAACTCATCCGTTTAGCTCGGTATAAACCTTAGACAATTTCTACTCAAGGGGAGTTCTAACACTGGTTCTCTGCTGATCACTGAAGTTAAGCAATGTTGAACCTGGTGAGTACCTATATGGGTGACTGCTTGGGAATACCAGGTGTTGTAAGCTTTCAATGTGTAAGGGATCACAGCTCGGAATGAGAACTTGGAGAGCCAAGTTCCAATTTCAGTTGGGTTTGTTATGTTCAGTTGTGTGTAAATGCTCTTGGGAAAGGTATGAATTTACCTCTTCTCCCCTAGCTATGGGTTAATTAGTAAGTCTTGTATCACTAAATCATTAATATTTCCAAAATTTCTTAAAAAAATAAAAATATTTTCTGGCTTTAAATAACCTGCTAAAGGGTAATAAGCCATAAAGAAATCAATGAATTCTTCAAAGCAACCCTTTCCCTCATTTTTCCTGATGAAACGGAACCTAAGTGGGATCAACAATCCAGTTATGCAGTCTTATTGAATGCACCTCTTCACTTGATAGACAGCCAAAGCAAAACTGTGGCTAGCTAAGCATAAAGAGGCAGGCAATTATGGTTTGAAATTTTCTTAGCTAAATCACTTAGAGACTAAACACAGTTTATATAAAGCCTATAGTATTTCACTGAAGAGGTAAATGAAAGGTAGATAAAGTGAAAATTATGAAGGTAGATGTGAAGACCCCCCTCCCATCCTATGTTTGTATTATGTCTCCTCAGCTAAATCCCTTCTGACTACTCACAGTTTATACAAAGCCTACAGTGTCTGATTGCAATGCTAAAGTATCTAGTAGTCATAGATGGCGACAAATAAAAGAGGAATAATGGAATTATTATGGAGCTGCTTTTTTTTTTTTTTTTTTTTTTTTATAAAGATGTGAAGGTTTTTAAATTTGTGAAAATAATTTTAATAATTCCTTTATTCTCTAAATTCAGTTCTCTTTTGACATCAAAGGTTTGTAAATTTGTTTCTGTATGTTTCAGGCTGCCTGACAATGTAAGTACAGAAGAGGGAGCTTTGTTGGAGCCGCTTTCAGTTGGGGTTCATGCCTGCCAACGTGCTGGTGTAACCATCGGGTCCACAGTGCTTATTTCAGGGGCTGGTAAGTTTGTTGTTTTATTATCACGGATGATAATACTTTTTGTTGTTTTTATCAAAAATGATTTCATATGAGAAACCTGGTTATTATGAACAAGATCAATGTAGTCAAGTTGTCAAAAAAATGTTTAAAAATATGTTGTTTGTTTAGCAGCATATCAACTCTTTATGGGTCATTTATTGCCAAAATTTTTCTTTTTTTCTTTGAAGCATTAGTAATTCCTTTTAAAAAAATGTATTACTGGTAATATTTTTTAATTCTGAAAGAAATGTATTGCTGGTAATTTTTTACTATGAAAATGTATTTCCGATATTTTTATTATAACATTTTTTATATTTACATAGTGTTTTGACACCAATTTGGGGGTTAACTATTTGCCTATAGCTGGGATCCTAACAGGTGCTACACTCCTGTTAATGGGGAACCAGCAATTAAGAGGGGGTTCCAAAGCCTGGTCAGATGCATTGCTGCTGGATGTAGTTTATCATTATATCCAGGACATTAATTTAAAAGTCTAAAGATTTTCAAGATAAGCTTTGTCTGTGAAAAGTGTCGTAGAGTGTTCGTAGAGCTGCCTATAAATATGCCAGTGTGTGTACATATGCATTTTGATTTTTGATTTCATATGAAATGAATATTTCAGGATCACATGTGCACACTGCAAAAATAAGGGCATGTTTCTCATGTCAAAGGGAAGGTGAGAGAGAGAATAAGTAGGAAGCGTTTGGAAAGAAAAAGAAAATCAAACATTACATGAGGGGCTTTGAAAGGGAAAAAGAAAGATTGAAGAAGAGCAGGTAGAATTTTTAAGAAGTCAAAAATATAAATCAAAATTATGTTTAGACTACAGTGAGCAATGTGTGTGTTGTTTAGTAAAAGATCTGTTTTTTGTCCATATAATCTTTTATTTAAATTCCTTGAGGTTTCACCGATGTATTCCTTGTTGCAATTATTACAGGTGATAGTGTAAATTCCACCTTCAAGTTTTAACTTTTTATTTTGTTTTGTATTAAGTCTTTTATTTACAATATTTACATCATTAGGACTGTTGTCCTCCTCTTTGTTGCCATATTCACAATGTTTTGGCCATTGTACGTTCTGGCCTTCTTCAGGTGATATTTAAATTTTTGTGACTTATAAACCTAATGACTCAGCAATCATTTTTTACCAGAGCTCATATTACATTTCACTCACTGATGTCCCCTAGAATTAATTCTCCAGTGGATAAAAACATTAGTTAAGTGATCCAAAAAGTGACTTGACCCAAAGAGATTCAAGTTCATTACCTAGCAACAGCAGAGGCAACAAAAACTTGGAGACATGAGTTACTAAATGGAATTAACTGAAACTGAGATATCCCAAAATGGCATGGCATGTGGAATTAGAACAATTTACTCCCATGGACTAAAAAAAGGGTTCTGTTTGAAATTCCAACTGATATCACCTGAAGAAAGTTGTAGTGTATGCTGGCGGGCATGTTGTGAATATGGCAATAAAGATGAGGACAACAGTCCAAGTAGTGTAAATAGTTACAATACCTAATTTCAGAAAAATAGATAAATGTTTAAGTCATTTATTATTTTAGAAGTAGTTTAACCAATTTTATGCTAAGCTGAGATAAATACTTTTCAGTCATAATTTTTATATATATATATATATATATATATATATATATATATATATATATATAATAGTGAATATTTGTATACATAATATTTTTAATTTATTGTATTTCCAACTAATGAATAAACATACTTTTCATATAATTAACTGTACACAGATGCATAATAATTAAATATGCAGAGAAAACAAAAGATTTTGATTAATAGAAATAAATCCCATATTTTTTTATTCTAATGGGTGAAAAAGTATTCATACAATACAAATTTCAGACTTAAACATTTTTGAATTGCTTTAATACTCTAAATTATTCAAGGGAAACATTCTAGAATGTTTTAATAATGTTATTAGTTGTTATTTTTAGCCTAAAATACAAACAGAACATTCTGTAATTGATATTTGTGCAAGAAGATTGTCATTATGGAAAGTTGACAAATTCACAAAAAGAAATGATTTTAAGTTCTGGAAAGAAGGTAAAAGTTACAGGAAAATGTCAGACATTCTGAATATTCTATTTACTACCATTTGTTCATTCATTGCGAGGTATAAAAATCTCAAAAATGTTGAAAACCGAAGAAGGACAGGTACTTCATGGAAGATTTCTTCAAGATTGTAAAGTGCAGAAGACGTCCTTTGGACAGGCTTCTGAGCAATACTGAAAAAGCAAATGGCCGCCTCCTTCTCACTTGCATTTATACCCTCCAAGGGCAAATAACTCCATTAACATCCATACAAAGATCTTCAACAAAATTAATGTGTCAAATTAAACAAAATCCAATGGTTACTTGTCAAGCGTTGCAGGATGATTTGCTTTCATCAGAAATCTGTGTCACTAAACAGACAATGAAATTCATAGGAACAATCAGGTTGAAATTTGTTCATGAACATAAGGATAAGGAAAAATTCTGTTGGGAAAGAGTATCATGGCAGATGAAACAAAAATTGAGTTGTTTGGATGTAATTCTAGAAACCATATAAGGAGGAAAGATGGCGATGCCTTCAAACAAAAGAACACAGTTCCAACAGTGAAATTTAGTGGTGGCAGCATCATGGTTTGGGGATGTTTTTTTCTGCAAAAGGTACTGCCAACATATCAGTCATAGATGGGAGAATGAATGCCGCAGTATATCAAAATATTTTGGAAGCAGATTTAATGATTTCGATTGAAAATCTTGACCTTCCTCCTGATTGGACCTTCCAAAAAGATAATGATCCTAAGCATATAGCAAAATCTGTGAAGAAATGGTTTACTGAAAATAATGTAAATAACTTGAAATGGCCAAGTCAGTCCCCAGATTTAAACCCAATTGAGAATATGTGGTGTTAGTTGAAAATTCAAATCCAATTGAGAGCTCCAACAAACATCCCGGATCTAAAGATCATATGCGAAGAAGAATGCAACAAAATACCAACTAAAATTTGCAAATCATTAACAGAGAACTACAAGAAGATGTTGGTTGCTGTAGAAGTGAATAATGGCGATTCTACAAAGTATTAAATGAAGATTATTTATTCTTTTCTGTATTGTACGAATACTTTTTTCACCCATTAAAATGGATAAATGGGATTTATTTCTATATCAATTTTTTTTCTGTTTTCTGTGGATATTTAATTATTATGCATTTGTGTACAGTTAATTATATGAAAAGTATGTTTATTCATTAGTTGGGAATACAATAAATTAAAAATTTGTATGTGTATGAATATTTGTTTCCCCCACTATATATATATATATATAGATACACCTAGTGAGCCAGACAAACCTACCTAGGTTTCACCTAAACGGATCATCAGGGAAAGCGAGTCTAGTTATATATATATATATATATATATATATATATATAAAATCGAGAGAAAGAAAAAAATTATTGTATTTACATTTAATCTTGCATTTTTATTACTTCAAACATTATTTTTAGTGGATACCCATGTTTGAAATAGACGCTCCGTTTTTTTAATTTTTATTTTACACAGTGTGTATTATATCTCTCGGCCTGAAAAATGTGCTCTCTGGCAGGGTTTGAGGCTGCACACCCCCCTCGCTTTGTTAGGGAAACCCTCATTTAGTCTGAAATGCTTTAAACCTTTCAGCCTGAGCATTCACATCGAAAGGGTAGATAAAAAAAAAAACACTTTGCTGGGCTCTGATGCTTTCCGTGGCCAAACTGTCTAAAGAATGTTGAATCAAATGGTGGTTTCTTCTACAAAAGTGGGTGCAGACCTGAACACTACGTCCAACAGCAAGGCCTCTGATCAGGAGCCTTTGTGGAACCACCTCTTGACCTGACCCGGGGTGGTAGCACCTGTTAGGGTCCCAGCTATGAACAAATAGTTAACCCTGAAACTGAGGTAAAAAGCATTATAAAAGTGTAAAAATAGATTTTAATAGCAGAAATACTTTGTGAAAAATTATTACCAGAAATAAACTTTTGAAGAAAAAAAAACTATTTCCAGCAATGTATTTTTGAAAAAGAATATTGCCAGCAATACGTTTTTGAAAAAAAAAATATTACCAGCAATACATGTTTTAAAATAATATTACCAGCTATACATTTTTGAAAAAATAATATTACCAGCTATACATTTTTGAGGAAAAATGTATTACCAGAAATAGATTTTTGACAAAACAAAATATTACTAGGAAAAAAAAAAAAATTGTCGGCATTAAATGACCCATTGAGTTGTTGATATGCTGTAAAACACAACAAACCAAACTATAAGAATATACTACAAAGAATTTTGAAGGTAAGGGGCTTTGTTCATGATTCTTTACGTTCTCCACAGGTTAGGAATCTTGAAGTTAAGGAAATTTGTCCTTGATTTGTTAAGTACCTGATAAGCTATTCTGTTAATAAGTGCCAATATCACTCTTGTGTGAAGGCACCAAAGTCAGAGAAATAAATAGCCTAAATACTGGAGATCTGACCTTGAAAATTAATCCCTGATTTTAATAATCAGTCCAAAATAACCTGTAATATAAATCAGAAATTACAAGAAGTGCTTAAAAGTTCTCAGCTGAACCAAGGAAAATATTCTCATATTTGTTAGATTTTTGGAAGAATTTGAAATTGAGAATTTTTCAGCTTAATATATTGAAATTATAGTTATGTTCTTGACAATTAAAATTTTCACATTTCCTATATTTTAATGGGGTTTAATTATGACTCCATAAAATGTGCTATCAATTTCAGAATTAAAATCTAATGTAGAAAATGTTTCTGGGAAATATTAATGTCTTTTTTTTATTTTAAAGATTCCAAACTTTTTTTAAAATTAAATTAAACTAAAATATCTATTCTTTCTTTGTTTTTTGGTTTTTAATTTAAACTTTAGGACCAATTGGATTGTGTTGTTATTTGACAGCAAAAGCCATGGGAGCAAAGCATGTATGCATTACAGGTAATTTATTATTTTATTACTAGTTTGATTCCATCTTATTATTGTTGCTTTTTATCCCAACACTCTGGCTCTATACACTCTTCATTATTACTATTATTTTATTACTAGTTTTATTCCATCTTATTATTATTTTTTTATCCCAACACTGGCTCAATACACTCTTCATTATTACAATTATTTTATTACTAGCTTTAGAAAAAAAAAATGTTTTAGAAAATGCACAATGAATCAATCATTGCAAAATCCAGTTTAAAAGGGATGTATTTGTAAAAATAAAATCTGTGTTTGGTAGGATTTAAAGCTTTTTTTTTTTTTTTTATTATGAATTATTGAAAACTAAATAAAATATTACTATACAATATTATAGTGAACAATTGGCTTGTTTGAATGCCACATTATGTTAGGTACTTCAACTTCAGTTTAATCTAGCTAAGAAGCATTTCTTTTAATTATCATTTCAAATTAATAATAAAACTTCCAGATGTTGATGACAGTCGGCTGCAATTTGCCAAGACAGTTGGAGTAGACCATGTATTGTCTGTAAGGGCTGGGACTTCGAAAGAATTGGCTTCCCAAATTGAAATGACTTTGGGTCAAAAACCAGAAATTTCTATTGAATGCAGTGGCAATCCAGCCGGTCTGAAGACTTCAATATTGGTAAGAATCATGTCAAGTTTTTTATTTTTTTGTCTTTTCATTCCTTTTCAGTTGGTTTGGTTTGGTAAAATCCATTTACAAGAAATTATCATTCTTGAACATTCTACAAATTATATAGACATAATAATCACAAAGCCTTTACAGACAACATGGTTACAAGTTTGAGACACCCAGTGTGGATCAAATATGTTTTAATAATATTTAGTCAAGGCTGTTTTATAAACCCCTGCTCTGTAATGAGACAGATAAATATTAAGTAAGCTTGCATCACATGGAATATATGAAAAAGAATGCTCGTTCAGTCTAATCAATCAGTTTTCCAGAACTTACGGCCATGTCATGTTGAAACACCGGTTCTCATATGATCACCAAAGTTAAGCAATATCGAGCCTGGTCAGTACCTAGATGGATGACCATTTGGGAATACGAGGTGTTGTAAGCATGGATGTGCTGGTGGTGTAATGGTTAATTGGAGAGCCATGTTCCAATTCCAGTTGGGTTCGTTATGATCATTTGTGTGTAAATGCCCTTGGGAAATGTAATCCACTTCTCCCCCAGTTATGGGTTAATTAGTAAGACTTGTATCACTAAATGATTAATATCTCCAAAAATTAAAAAAAATATTTTCCGACTTTAGATAACCTGCTAAAGGTTGATAAGCCATAAAAAAAATCAATGAATTCTTCAGTGCAATGCTTTCCTTCATTTTGACTGATCGATCACTTTGGTGAAAATAAACAGAACTTGAACGGGATCAACAATCCAGTCATCTCTGATTTTTCTCTCTTGGTAGAAAACTAAATTAAAATGGTGATCGTATTGAATTGTTCAAAGTTTCTGTTTTGAGCAATAATATACGTTTGAAGGGAATTTTCCATAACATTCATCACAAGAAAATTAGCAAATTCATCTCAACGGCCAATGATGCATGACCTTTTACAGTGTAATTCAGTCAGCATAGCTTTCCGTGGAACAATGATTAATAATAAAGTATCACAGACTCATTACTATTATTGTGTGTTTGATCTTCAATTGACTCTCTCTCCTTGTGGCCTTGTGCCAGACTAAACTAAGTTTAGAATATTAGGTAAAAATCAGGAGTTAGTTTCTCTAGATCCTGTCTGAAATCTGGAAGAATAATTTCTTGTTAAAGAAATATAGAAAGGCAATGTGTTTAGTTATACTTTCATTTTTTTTTGTCCATAAGTTGGGCACAAGGCAACAATATTGAAGTACCCTGTGCAAAACCTCATGTCCAGCTTATTAATGTTTCAGTAACCCTAAAAAACAAAAATAAATATTTTCAAAACTGGCAGGTGATCTTAGAAACTTGTGTGTAACATAAAAAAATTGGCTTTGTGCCATATTTAGCTAAATGTAAAATTCTCCTTAGTGCATTAGCATGTATTTCTCTTTCCTGCTAATTTACGAAGTCTCCTTCCTGCTGGAAATGTGTTTCTTCTCGTCTTTCAGTGCAATACAAGAGCTCCCTACTAAAATTTGACCTTCTGTCATACTTAACTAAGAGCTTGATTCAGAGATTAGACAGGTGCATATATCTCTCTGGTGTTACTTATTGGTGTTTCAACTCTGCGAAAAGGCCAGGGTTTTAATGCTGATTTTCTAAGAAGTTCCCTCCCACTTGCAGTCCTAGGTATGACGATAAACTATATCCAGCAGCAAGGCCTTTGATCGAGAGATCGGAGGTTTTGACGAGCAGAGAAACACATCTTAATTGTTATTGTTTTCCAGATCCACCCTTACCCAGGGGCGGTAGCTAGGGGCAAATAGTGAACCCCCAAATAAATACAAAATACTATAAAAGTATAAAAATACATTTTTATTTAAAAAAAAAAAAAAATTACCAGCAGTACATATTTATATAAAAAGATTACCAACAATACATATTTAAATCAAAATCACCACCAATAGATTTTATAGTAGAAATATATATATATATATATATATATATATATTTTATAGTAGAATTACCCAAATACATTTTATCTGTAGTCGAAAGCATAAAATTGCATTCAAAATATATTTAGTGGAAGACAAAATTGTATTCAAATTATTTAGATTTTTAGCATTAAATATTCCATAGAGGTGTTGATTTGTCATTAACCAAAATCAAACAAACAAGAAACATGAACTTTCATGACATTAGTAATTCATATAATATCCTATAATTTCCTAGAAATCAAACTGTTTTCCAAAATATAACTTCAACAAAACTACAACATAAAACACAGATATCACCACCTCTAGTAATTATGTCCATACAAACATGGGCACCTCAAGGTGGTGTAATGGTTAGCAAGCTTGTCTCGCTAGAACAATTATGACTGAGTAGTGAGTTCGATCCTCACTGGCTGCCCCATACTTTCGGCCTTGTGCCACATCTAAGCTATGCTTGTAAAATCACCATATCCACACAAACATGTATATGCACAAAAGCTGAGTATCATCTACCATGTATTCAATTGTGAAAGCAGAATGATGTATATCATGTTTTTATTGCTTCCAAGCTGCCAAAAAAATTAAATTCTGACATTAAATGACCCATGAGGAGTTGATTTACCATGAAACAAACAAATCAATCAAAAACCTTTCCACTTGGAGAAATTGATGTAATGTCATCTTTCTATTCTCCCTTTGTCCTTGTTTGCCATTTTGGAAGTACAGTAGAATCCCTGACGATCGGACTAAGAAGGCCTTCCGGTTATGAGGAATTGGTTACAAAGTCCAGATATGAGGGGTTATATTTAGATTAAAATAAAAGAACTCAAGTCAGGTTTAACATTTATTTTCAATGTTTTATAGTAAACAAAATAAGCTAATGGTGAGTGAAATATAACGGAATTGATTTTAAGGAAAAAGAAATAAATTATGTAATGTTACTGAAAATTCATTAAATTAAGTATGCCACATATGCAAAACAAATAATGTAACAAGGATTTTTTAATCGTTGTTACATAATGATTCTTTCTCTTCTAATATCATTCTGAACTTTTTTCACATTTCGTTTTGCTTTTGTTCTTGAAATTTTTTAAATGAAAGACACTTTTTAACTCTCATATAAAGTTATTGTAATCGTCACAGCTGAATGCTATCTTTCTTTCCATAAAACTGACGACCTTTTCAATAGCTTTTTCAATTTCAGTCCAGGTTTCATAACAATCATGTTTTTTTTTTTTTTTTATTTCATTGTTCATTGTGAGAGTGTGAACATTGGAAAATAGTTTCTTTGGAAGATTTTATATCATACAATGTTGACGTTCTTATGTTGAACTCGACCATTAAGTACAATGAACTTTCACCAGCGTCTAGTCTGTTTAAAATTTCCTCTTTTTTGCGATGACTCCAAAGTTGTTCTTTTCCTCTTATTTCCATCATCTTTTGCACCAATACAAGCCATTAGGGTGAAATAAGCATAAGCAATTATCCAAAGTAAATTTCCTGAAAAACAGAAATTTCGAATCAGATACATATTACCCAAATAGTTCAAATATACACATCAAAATCATGTCCGGATATGCGGGATTCCGGATATGAGGTACTCTGGATAAGAGGGATTCTATTGTATCTATAAATGAATGGATCTATTTGTTTGAGCTTAAAAGCAGGTACACAAGAGTAAGCAATATTGAATGTGGTTAATATCAAAGGGGTAACTATTTCAGAATACATCATACTGTAAATTATTCCTAAATTCTTTGAAGCCTGAACGAAAGTTGATATTCTCTTCTCTTTGCTAAGGGAAGTAAGGATGGGGATCACTTAAAAACTTATCACACTATGTTAAAAGTAGGATTTTGAAAGTAAGTACAAAACAATGTTGTCATCGATTACTTAGTTGTTATTGATGTTACAGGCGACGGCAAATGGAGGGTGTGTTCTGATGGTCGGTATGCAGCCTGATGAAGTCACTGTGCCTTTGTTAAATGCAGCTGTCAGGGAAGTGGACATCAAAGGGACATTCAGATATGCCAACTGGTAAGTGGACAGTCACAGATAATGGTATTCTTTTTTTCTGTACACTTTAACATCTCTTATGGTTTGGCTACCTTAAAAATCTGTATTTGAAATTCTGTCTTTTCAGAAAAGTTCAAAACCTGGCCTGTCTTTTTTTTTCTTTGCAGTGAGGTTCACCCTTTACAAGGCCTGGGGGCCATTTTTGTGTTTAGGAGTGGAATATAGTAGTTAACCTCGGTACCTACATGAGATTGCTAAAAAAAGAGCATAGCATGATGAAAAAGATGCAAAACTTGGTGAAAACAAACTTTTATCGTCTAAATGTTTGTTATTATTAAGAAGATCAAACTATTTTTGGTATTTTTTACATTTTATAATTGTTCCTAGCATGTCCAAAATTTACGTTAAAAATCTTGTTTTTTTGAGTCAACAAAATTGACAGATGGCAACCATTTTTTCCATTTTACAAAAAAAATTAAAATCTCAGTTTGAAATTCTTTTAAATATCAATTATCATTTTTTCAAAACTTATTTTAAGAAAATCAGAAATTATAATGTTTATTTAAAATATTTTGAACCAAGCTTAACTTAGCTTCTGCGCCAAAAAGATGTAATTTGAAAATAAAACAAAGCAGGTCATAAACTTTCGCCTCACTTGACAGGTGATGAATGACATATTGATGGATTCCGTGAGGATAATTTGTTCTACAGAAGGAGAAAAGTGAAATAATTTACATTTAAGTGAACAAATTATTTACCTCGTTATTTTTAAGGAAAACTTTCAGTGCTCTAATTTTTTTTTTTTGTACTTAGCTTTCACCTTTACATTTATGATGCTTTACGGAAAATATATCATAAAGAAATTAAAATAAGACTGTTAAGAGTGAGATTAAATTTCATATTTCATAAGAAAGGTACCTATAAATTAATTAGATACCTTTCTGATGAAATTTTATCAAAAGTGTACATAAAATACTATAATTTTATGTACATTTATTACATTTTACTGTGTTATTTGTATTTCCATTCATTTTATTATTAATTTTGTTATTTCATTTATGGAAAAATGTCATAACTGAGATTAATATAAAAATAAGATCATATAAATTTCATAAGATGATACTCATACTTGTAGGTACACTTCTCAATTGAAATTGAAAAATTAAATAAACTTCTCCACAGGTGTTTCACAAAAGTAAAGGCCTTAACAGTGGAGAACAATGCTTAACTCAAATTTTGCAACTTAATTGTATTCTGGTTGGGCTTCCGTACTTTATAATTACAGCCTAATTATAAACACAAAATTAGATTTCTTAATTACTGTGGATCTTCTGATTGGTCAAAATGATACAATTTACAACGCGCTAAAAAAAAAAAAGATCTATCTCATAAGGACACTTAGGAAACTCGATGCGGCTTTTAACTAATTTTATAATATTTTAACAACTTAAATGTAAAAATCTATTATAATTAAGAAATAACAAATAATTGTATTAAAAATTCATTTTTCATCAAAATTTTTTTTTGCTTTTAGAAAATATTGTCCATTTTTATAAAAACAACTAAAAGCAAATAAAAAGATTTGAAATTAAATAATATCTTTGTTTTATTGAGTTTTGTATGTTACAATTCAGAGTAGGCGGGTCCAATTAAAAAACAAACATGATTTGCATTCCTCAAAGCCTTGTGCTTTTAACTATTGTAATTGCTAAAGTGGACTCGATCGAATTTCTAGAATTTTCATAAAATTAGTTAGGGGTGGGGGGGGTAATAAATATAAAAAAAACGTTTCTTCCATAACTTTAATAAAAAAAAAAAAACATAATAATTTCGATCATCTGTGAATAGTTTTTGAAAGTTTTATTAACATCCGACAATTATTTTTATTTTTGCAAGATTTTCCAAATTAATGTGTGTCATACAAAAAAAAAATGTGCTGAAAATTGTATGTTATTTTACTGGTTCCAGTGATACAAAGAGAAACAAGGATTTTTAAATGAAAATTCAGATTGTTCTCAAAAGAAGGAAAAATTTTAAAAAATAATTAAAATAAACTTTGATCTTTCCTCTTAATAATAACATAAACATTTAGACGATAATGTTTTTTTTTTTTTTCATCAAGTTTGGCGTCTTTTTCATCATGCTATGCTCTTTTTTTAGCGATCTCATGGAGGTGCCTAAGTTAACCTTGGCCTTGAACATGTTACGATTGTAATAATTGGGGAAACATCCTGTTGGGAGTTGGTTCCACAGGGCAGTGGTTTGTAGGAAGAAGCTGCTCAAGTGGAACTTACTTATCACTGATGGAATACAGTGAGGATGTGGATGGTTTGCTACTACATAAGTGGTATATTGTGTTCTTGCTGTGAAGGTTTGCCTCAGCGGGACCAGGGAATCTATTTTGTCCAATCACTTTCTGGGAAAGTAGCGATAGAGCAGCATTAGGCTTACTGCAGACAGAGGATGAAGGGTGAAGAATAATTTTTCACTCACAAGTATTCAGAAATGCTTTTGAACTCTATCTAGGCTGTAGAGTGAAGTTTGGACATTTTGGATCTGATCTGGCTCTTGTAAAGGTAGAGGATAGCAGCAGGTACTTCCTGAAGTGGCACAGGGAACTGACCATTTTATCTGCATCCTTAGCAATGGATCATATGTATGAGTTCCATTTCATGTCGGGTGTGAGTTTGAGGCACAACGGTCTTTCAAGGCACTGAGCTCCCCGAGAGGATCTTTGATCATCCCGATTGATGGTATTTTGGGGTCAGATCAGTGACGATGGAATGTCACGAGCTTCGAGGCATTGAATGTAACCAGCCAGTTTTTATCCCATTAGCTAGTTTCTGCAACATTGGAAGAGAGTTCAGTCACCAATCTCTGACCATTTAGAGTTAAAATTGAAGTTAAATAAAGTGAAGTTAAGTAAAATATCATTATGAAGTGAAAAGATTATATTGAATCAGTTGCTGGGTTTGTTGCTAAGAAAGTTGCTTCATTGTGTCGTGCTAGACAATTTTATGTCCAAATTTATTTTACACATACCATTCATCCATGCATTGAATGTTGCTACATCTGGTCTGGAGCTTCTACTATATATTTAGAGATTCTTTATAAAATCCAAAGAAGAATCTGCAATGTTATTAGTCCTGACCTGGCATCTTGACTTCAGTCCCTTTCCTACTGCTGTAATGTTGCTTCCCTGTGCCTTTTCTTTAAATACTTTTGGAGTAATTGTTCTGATGAGCTTTGCTCTTTGGTACCTCAACTTTATGAATTTAAGTACTAGATTGGAGGCATGGTCTCATGATTTCACAGTTGAAATGGTAAAATGTAATTGTAAGTTCTATGCTAATAGTTTCTTCTGTCGCACTTCTCGCTCGTGGAACTCTCTTCTGGCTTCTTGCTTTCCAATCAACTTTGCATTTAAATTTTTGAAGGTCAATGTCAATCGTTATCTTCTGCTTTCATAATTCCTGCTTTTTTATTGTGCACACTCTCCTTAATATCAATTCCTTTCCGGTCTCATATTATCTCACATTCAGTAAACCCTTGCATCTAGTGGCTTCATTGCCTTGTGTGGGGTGAAAAGATTAAAATTTCATCTACCAGACTGTTACTTTCTCTTCACGGTTGTTCAAATTAATTTTTGACCCGTAGTCTTAATAATTTAATTAAAATTTGTTTAGTTTGTGTTTGGTTGTAGCAATTATTGTATTACGAAAATAGAATTATCTCCCTTTAATTAAATTATTTCCCTTTGATTCGAAGCGTCACATTTTCGAAATAAAAAAAAAAAAAAAAAAAAAAAAAAAGAAAATTAAAATTAGTATCTAAAATTAATATTTGCCTTAAGTATTTTTAAAAATCAGTTCATCTCCCAAGCAAGGCGACAATGCTACAAAGAGTGAAAGAGAATGAGAATATTTTAGAAGGAACCAGAAATCCAATCCTAAAGAGTAAACAAGGGATAAACATCTACACCTGTTTTTTTTCTAGTACAAACTGAAATATAACATCCATGAAAAAAATTGACAGATATATTTCACTTTATTTGGGATAAAATTAAAAAAAAAAAAAAAAAAAAAAAGGAAAAAAATTAATTTATTTGTCCTTCCTCTATAAAAATAAAATTTTTCATGTTCGTATTTAATAAACACTCTAGGTCATTAATATAAAAAATGAAATAAAATATTTTCTAAATTTGAATTTTCTGGGGGTTCAGTTTCCTATGTAAATTCACGATAAATTACCCCCCCTGTATCCTTATTACCCCACCCCCCGGCAATCTCCTACTACATGATAATCTTGAAAAATTATTTAATATTTTAATTTTTTAAAGTAATTATATTAAATTATATTAAATCATTATTTATTAGATTAATTATTATTATTATCATTATTATTTATTAAATTATTTATTTTAAATTATTATAATCTTAAATTATTTTTAAATTTTGTATTTTGACTTACTTTTTAAATTTGATAAATTTTTAAAAGGTTTTTGTTTTTTTATATATTTTGGGTATTGGTTGTTTTATTAATATTTTAAATCTTATTTTTAAATTTAATATTTTAACTTATTTTTAAATTTTAAAAAATTTTAAAAAAATATGTTTTTATTATTTTTTTTTTTTTGTGGGTATTGTTTGTATTTTAACTTATTTTTAAATTTAAAAATTTTATATTTTAGCTTATTTTTTAAATTATATTAAATTATATATTATTATTAATTAAATTATTTTTAAAATTAATATTTCAACTTATTTTTAAAATTTTAAAAATATTTAAAAAAAAAACAAAAAAAAACTACACTGCTTTTATTTTATTTTATTTTTAAAATATTCTGGGTATTGTTTGTATCCTTAATATTTTAACTGACTTTTAATTTTAAATGGTTGATATATTTTTTTTCTTAATTTTTCTTAATATAAACTATCTAATAATGATTTATTGTTAAACTTATGTTTTATTTGTAAACATATTTTGGTAAATTTGAGTGTTAGAAATTTTTTTTATTTCATGTAATTAGTTAATAATTTTCATATTTAAAAACCTTCTTCTTTGGGCCTCCCTTAGAATAATCCCATAATCTAATGGGATGTTAATGGTTACATCTAAGTTGAATTGTGTAGCGAATTTTCCATTTAAGCCAAACAATATCCACCCTTCCTTACCAACACTCTGGCAGTTTTTTTTTTTTTTTTTTTTTTTTTTTTTTTTTGTGTTGTCTGATAAATTAACTGTGTCAATTTTTTCAACTGTTTCTTGCAAATTTAAATTTCAAATTCTGAGACTATTCATTTTGGGTTGAATAAAGCCAACTTACAGACATTGGTGGAAATAGTCTATAACCAACCATGAGGTAATTTTGATTTCCCTGTTATGTAATATATATATATATATATATATATATATATATATATATATATATATATATATATATATATAGCATTAAATGTTATTTTTAGTTGATACCCATATTTGAATGGATGTTCTGTTTATTTTAAACAATTGACTGCTTATATTTCTCGTTTTTTCTTCATATCTGCACTTTTCATTGGTACTAGATTGATTTTTTTTTTTTTTTTTTTTTTTTTTTTTTCTTCTTTCATCGTGTGTGTGTATGAGAGAGAGTGAGTGATCATGTGTACGCATAGAAGGTTGTGGTTATTCCTCCATTATGTTATATTTTTTCTTATATGATACTCTCTCCTCATTGGTTTTATACTTTTTACTCTTTTTCTCTTTCAATTGTAGCAATTTTGATATTCAGTTTTCCAGACATTCATTCATTAATTCTTGGGCATTCTAGTTTTTTTTTTTTTAAGAAAATTGTGGGGGCACTGGTTTAGATACCATCCAACCTTCCATGTAACTGGTTGTACTGGGTTACATGTTAACTAGTAGCAGGACTGACCTGACCGGCTTGAAGAAAAAAAAAATTAAATAACTTCAAAACAATTATGAAATATGAATTTCAAGCAGATTTTTTACTTAACTTTTCTCTTCATTATTATTATTATTATTACTACTACTACCATCCTCCTTCTCCTCCTCCTTTGTGGATTTTTGGCTTATGCAGGGTGGTGGTGGTGGGGGGACCAGTTTACTGTGAATTTATATAGCAACCTGAAACTAGAAAATTAATCTCTCTTTTTTATATTTGATTTGGAGAAGATTAACTGATAAGAGTATGAAAAGAATTTAAAAGAAAATTATCATTTCCTGGAGATCAACATCTCTGTAGAAATTGCAAAAAAATGTTCTGAATTATGGTCATATTTTCCCTCCATAAATAATCCTTCCTATAGAATAGTGAAAGGAAGGCACTGAATATAAAAAAAATCTATTGGACTTAATTTAGTCTTTGATATGCAGGAATAGTTCAAGACATTAAACTCAGTGCTACCCAAATTGTTTTTTGTTTTGTTTTTTTACTCAATACCAACTTAGAGGAATATTTTTATAAATTTATCATAACATTAAAAAAACCTTTTGCTTTATTTTTCCTTTCAGTTACCCAACTGCTTTGTCAATGATCGCCACAGGCCAAGTAAATGCGAAACCATTGATAACTCATCGATATAACCTTGAGGACAGTCTGAAAGCATTTGAACATGCCCGGACCATGCGAGACGGTGCTGTGAAGATTATGATTCATTGTGCCCAAGAATAAAATTCCACTTGACCATTCCTTCTTCCTTTCCCTGTTTGATTTCTTCAGGTTGAAGTGAATACAATTAACATTTTTAAATAAAAACAAAAAAAAAATGGTTTATAGAATTTTGGTATTGGATAAATAAAATATACAAAAATTTCTGCAGCTTCAGAGTCTTGGAAGAAATAAAATGGAACTAATAGCTTTTAGTTTTTTTAATCCAGTTTTCTGGGATTTGAATAAATTAATTATTTTAATCTGAATCCAAAGAGTGTAGAGGAAGAAAATGCTGTTAAAATAGGTACCTCCACTGCATGTAAATTGTGATATCTAAGGTTTAAATTAATTTTTAAAAATGTAAAATCTTTCTTGAAGCTTTTATTTTAAGCTATAACTGAAAGCTAAAAGACTAAATTTACTATTTTCACTAAGCAAAATACTCTAGTATATTTTAAACAGAAATTATATTGATTGGAATCTTGTTTTTTCTTTTTGGTTATTTTGTCTTTCCTCTTAATAATAACAAATGTTTTGATGATAAAACTTTGTTTTTTATCAAGTTTGGGGCCTTTTTTTTCATCATGGTATGCTCCTTTTGTAGCAAAAAAGTGGAGGTACCTATATTAGAATGTTTATTTACGTAAACAAAATAATTATATGTAATTACTACACAGGTAAAGTAAATGGTTTTCTTTTCCATATTTTATTAATATTAAATATTTATATAATATTAAATAACATAATTAAAATAAATCTAATTACTGCTCAGGTAAAAGAAACTTGTTTGCCTTTTCATTGAATTTAACCTTGTATTTAACCCTCAGTCCTACAATTTAATTCAGAGCCTTTATTCACATATTTGTGCTATCAATCCATGATACTTAAGAGATGTGGTAAGTGTATAATGAGTGGGTTGGAAGTGTTTTCTTTAATTGGCATTGTACAATTTAAATTCGTGAATTTATGGCATTTGAGGATTCAAGTAAACACTAAATTGGATTTGGATCCCTGGGAGTCAGACAAAATTGATTTCATTATTTTTATAGATTTGAAGGCTATTTAAAACCAGAGAATATTTTTAGAGTAAGATTTTAATATTTTTTTTTAGATATTAATGATTTACTGATACTAATTAATCCATAGGTAGGTGGGAGAGAAGAGGTGAATTTATACATTTCCCAAGGGTATTTAGTGCACAAGTGAATATAATGAAGCCAACTGGAATTAGAACTCAACTCTCTGATTTCCAATTCCAAACCAAAGGAACAGCAAATCCTGTTATTTCCTTCAGATTCCAAAGTGCCCTTACCTGAAAAACATTTTCTATATGGAAATTGTTTAGGTTGTCTGTTGTTTTTTGCCTTACATGGCCAGCAAGATAGTGTCGAGGGCAGACTGCTTTATGATGTCCAGATCACTGATCTTGTTTTGCCATTTCATGTGACAGTCTGTGGAACAAGGTAACTCATGTTAATAAGCATGCTATGAATATATATGGTAATCCTGACATGAGAGAATAAACAATCAAATGATAGGGTTAAGCAATAGACATCTAGAGCAAATACAATGAGGGACGATTAGCTGCCCACCGTTTGTGAGCATGAGCAGTCTTTCCTCCATAATAGATTTCATGAGAGAATAAACAGTCAAATGATAGGGTTAAGCAATAGACATACAGATCACTGAGGGATGATTAGCTGCTCACCATAACAAGACGGACCTTAATTTTGTTATAAAAAAAAATGTGACTAATTAAAAGAGAAGACAATTCAGAGACGGAAATGTTCAGAAAGTGATTTAATCGTCAATCCATCCATAGTAAATTTATGTTCCGGTTCTTACAATGTTTTCACCATTCTTTTCTGTTATTTCTGATGGTCAAAAAAAAAAGAATCTAAATAAAATCAGCTAGATTATATACTCAAAATACACAAAAAACCCCCAAAAGAAAACATTTAAATTTTAAATTCCCAGCGTCTCATTTGTGAGCATGTGTAGTCACACAAACATTAACAAAGTCTGATGAAGTCCTAAAGGACCAAATGTATTCCACAAAAAATTTTCCACTTTATCATACATCTTTCCTTCATAAAATATTTATCAAAAGCTGCTGAACCTTTTTCATCAATCTAAAAAAAAAATAAATAATTCTCAAATAGAAATGACACAGACAAATTTCAAAAGGCATATTCGTTTTACATGCAGATATTGCACACCAAAATGCTTTCTTTGTGATGTCGATTTTGGGGGTCATAGAATGTTTTGGGCCTTAATGACATCAAACTTTCTCTCTTATGGGTCAAGCCGAGAGCAATCATTTCTTGACTAGCCTTTTGGCATAGCCTCCCCATGATTGCAAGATAACTGGAAACAATATTTTCTATCCTTGGTCCCATTTTTGGTTTTAGTTTTCATTAACAACTTGCCTGATGGTATCAGCTCTCAACTTGGTATATATGCTGAAGACGGAACCATTTACTCCTGTCTCAATAGTAAGTCTGATCAGTTTGATATGGATAAACTGGCAGATAATCTCAAGAATGACCTACAGTCTGTTGTTAACTGGGACAAGGAATGGCTTGTTAATGCCTCCCAAAGTAAACATCTCTATTAATCATCTATGAGAGCCCTTCCTGTCTCTCATGGCTGAGACTAACTTCCACGAGAGTGACTAGTTTTGTCTTCTTGGGCTTACATGAAGTGGAAAGATTATATTGAATCAATTGCAAGGTCAGTTGCTAAGAAAGATGATTCACTGGGCCATGCTAGACAATTTTTTTTTCTCCTGAATCTATCTTACATATTTAAGTCTATCATCCATGCTTTGAATATTGCTGCTGCATATGATGCCATGCTCCTGCTGTATATTTAGATAAAATCCAATGAAGAATCTGCAATGTTATTGGTCCTGACCTGGCATCAATCACTTTTCCACCATCGTAATGTAGTTTCTATGTTCCATTTTTTTTTTTTTTTCATAAATACTTTAATGGTAATTGCTCGGATGGACTCTTTGTGGTACCTAGACTTTATGAATTTAATCTTAATGGCAAGGTCTCTTCAACTGACAGTCAGGTTGGCTAGATGTAACCTTAAGTTCTATGCTAACAGTTTCTTTTCCTGAACCTCTCACTTGTTTAAATATCTTCTGGCTTTATGCTTTCCAGTCAACTTTGTATTTAAACTTTTGAATATCAATGCCAATTGTTACCTACTATCCTCTCTCCTTAATGATGTTTCGTTTTTTCTTTTCTCATTCTTTCACACTCAGTAACACTTTGTGGATTAGTAGCCTACTATCTTGCATGGGGTGAAGGGATTTTAAAAAAATATTATTAGGAGTAATTATTTATTTTAGGCGAGCATTATCCCAAAAGATCGTGTAGCTCGCAATTTTAGCCCTTCAGTAACATTTCGATGATGATTAATTTTAGATTGCATGACTACTGAAATAGTGTCAGTAAATTAAATGCTGATTGTCAAGTCATGCGTGTCTTTTGTAGTAAAAGAGTTGGTGAAAGACAATCTTTCACGTTACCATTATTTGAACATATCCAAAAGTGAGGCAAGTAAGTTTGTGTGGGGGGGGGAGAAGAAAGAGAGAGATATGAAAATGATGAATGTCAAATGTGAAGGAAAGTAGCTTAATGGAGTTCAAATGCATAAAATATGTATTTAGTTTAATATAGATTTATCCCAATGCCAATATTTACAAATAAACTATTGTCCTGATCTTTGTTATTAGCACTTTTCAACCAATGTGCCCTCAGGCCTTCATCAGGGAATTTTGAACCAAACTCTTTATTTAGACTACAAGTGGTATATTGTTCTCATTTCAATTGTGTAGTGATATACTCGTCCGATTCCATAGATATGATCAGTAGAACGAAAGCAATCACCCCACCTCCGAAGACTGTATTGCACTCCAAATAACCTTCAGGGAATTTCGAGATTAAGCCTTAAATATAAAGAGTTTAGTTTGAAATTCCCTGAAGGTAATTCGAATCGACATGCTCCTGACGAAGACCGGAGAGCACAATGGCCAAAACTCAGTACAAAAGACGAGGACAATACAAATTCGCATGTAATTAATGAGAACTTCTCATTGTAGAAATTCGGGCAGAAATTATTGGATTGTTATAAGCGTATTGGGCTAGCGAAAGATGTCAAAAAAAAAAAAAAAAAAAAAAAAATAGCAAAAGAAATTACGACTGAGTAGTGAAATTGCTACTCACTAGGTGTCCCGAATACTTTCTGCCTCATGACACATCTAACCTATGCTTAGAAAAAAAAATATCACCATTCATCCCAAGCTGAGACACTTCGACGTGATGTAACGGTTAGTAAGCTTTGTCTTCCTATAAGAATTATGAACAAGTAGTAAGTTCGATCTTCTATGAGTGCCTCACAATTTTGGCCTTCTTTCATATCTAAACTTTGCTTAGAAAACCATCTTTTGGCACCTCGATGTGGTCAGCAAACTCGTCTTGCTAAAGAAATTACGACTGAGTAATGAAATCGATCCTCACTGGGTGTTCTTCTCTTAGAACAAACACTATACATTCCAAGCTGGGACTCTTCGACGTGGTGCAATGGTTAGCAAGCTTACTTCAAATACCAGAAAGTCCTGAGTTCGGTCCTCTCTGGATGCCTTGTGACGCATCTAAACTTAATTGTCTACTTTAGATTGAAGCAGGAATTTACATGAAATATTAGTTGGTTAGTTGTTTTGTGGGTCATTTAATGCCAACAAAATTTTGAAATAGATTTCTAGAAATAGTTTGGTAAAAAAAAAAAAAAAAAAAAAAAAAAAGAGAGAGGTGTGCATGTATACATATATATTTGAAGCATTTTTCAATTACTCATTTTTTTTTTAGTACAATCCAACTTCTTTTAGGAAATTTACAATCTTAAGTGGTTTTATTTTCGTAAGTTTTTTTTTTTAAAAAAAAAAAAAAAAAGCAAATTACTCTCTTGGTAATATTTTGTTCGCACTGGATCAAGATCTACACACTAACAATATATGTTTCACTGTAAATTTCTCTTGGCATGTAGTGCATGTTGGGGATTCTGTGCCCTCAAGTAAATAATGGTGGGTGTGGTCTATGGTGAAGGCGGGTCAGCACGACCTGTTCTCTTCCGAGTTTCATTCTCCGACAGTGGGTTTAATGTTTTGGAGTTTGTTATTAATGAATGCATTCCAATGATGTTGCCATTTTTTAATGATAATTTTCTTTACAACCATCTTATAATCGGTGTATGGAATTTTTGTGTTTGTTATTGCATCCTTCATGGCTTTTTTTGGCCTCCGAATCCGCCATACGAAACATTAACTTAACCATTTAGCTTTGTCTATTCAAGTCTTCTATATAGATACTAAATAAAATAGAAATCCGGCCCTACTTTGGAGGGGGCTACAGGAATAAGTACCAGCCCCCAAAGTAAATTAAGGAATTCTGATTCATTCACTTTGTAGTAATGTTTTTCTAGAAGGCATTCTACATCTACGAGACAAATTGACAAAGACGTGACCATCACAATCCATTTTCTTTGCCTTCAGGCGAACAGCAACACAAACGTTAATATCTACCAGTTTTTTTAAAATCTTTTAATACACATATGCACATGGGGAAGCTGCAAGTTTTCCAATATTGAACTATGATCTGGCTGCTTTGGTCAAAGTTGCCTCGGTAAAACAGCAGGTGGCGAGATACAGGTTTGAATGCGTCATATCTGAACGTACCTATTCTATTATTAATAGACTCTCCCACACATAAGTAGTAATAGTAGTAGTAGCGGTCGCCAGTTGGGCTCTGTGGTGTTGAGCGAGTCAGTCGATGTCGGACATTGAAGTATCAACCATCACAACTAGATTGCTGCGTCATTTACTCTTATTTCAAGTTCCTAACGTTTTGTACGTCGAACCTAATTTAGGACGACTTATTGAAATACAAGCCTCCACTGTGAAAACTACTCTACGACAGAATGTCAGGTGATACTGAAAATACGGCATGCACGCAGTGACGTAGCTAGAGGGGGCGTTCCACTTCGGCCGGCCTGTCCTAGATAAGACGATAAACTACGCCCAACAGCAAGGCCTCTGATCAGGAAGTTTTGAGGAGTGTGGAACCACCTCATAATTGCTGGTGTTACCAGGTCCACCCTGAGCCGGGGTGGTAACACCTGTTAGGGGCCAAGCTATGGGCAAATAGTTAACCCAAACTGGGGGTCAAAACACTATGAAAGTGTAAAAATAGGTTTTAATACCAGAAATACTTTGTAAAAAGATTATTACCAGAGAAGGAAATTATTGACAAATAATTTTTGAAGGAAAAAAAAAAAATATTACCAGAAATAGGTTTTTGAAAAAAATATTACCAACAATGAAAATTTTTTCGTCATTGAGTGGCCCATTGAAGTTGATATGCCGTAAAACAAACCAAACCACTTCGGCCGTCAATTTTGTGTGTGCTGTCGGTTATAATCCCGTGTTGAAATAATGGTTGTTATGTCGGGACTGTACTCAGTTGAAGGCCCTTTCCAATTTCGGGTAACTTAAACTATGGCATATCGATATTGGCCTGTTAATCACTCAGCGAGAATTAAACGGCTATCTCTCTTAGCAAGTAGAAAATTCCTGTTTACTTCAAATATCTCCCTTATTACTTTGAACAATACAAGCAGCAAACGAACTTAATAGCATCGGGGCAGTTTTATCCTTGTATGAACTTTTATCCTTGTATGAACGCTGGGCTGAGTGATCTTAGAAATAACTTGGAGGTTTCAACAGTTTCCTGAACATGCCGAAAAATGTGGCTTCCTTACTTTGTTAAATGGTAAAACATGAGAGTCAAATAGATCACGATGACATTGATAAAGAGGAGTTCCTAGTTGAGAAAAAAAAAAAAAAAACAAACTTTATAGTTTTATTTTAGTGCTGCTAAAGGCAGAATACATACGTAGAAAGAAGACCCCCCCCCCCGAACAGTTTCCAGAGTATAACCTTGATAATTCGGTTGCAAATTTAGCAATAATGCCGTGGATTTTCTTCACAATTGCTGTCAGTGTTGCTACCTGTGAGAGAAGTTTTTGCAAAACTAAAACTTCTAGAATTACTTAAGATTTACTATGAGCAGCTTGCGGTCGAAAAATCTTGCCATATTGTGTGGAGAGCGACAATTGACAGATTTTTTTTTTTTTTGACAATGTCATTGAAAAAAAAAAAAAAAAAAAAAAAGACTTTGTAGAAAGTCGTAATTTTCATTTTAGATTTTTTTTTTTTACCATTATGTCGTTTTTGCTTTTTAACTGTTACTGAAAGTTAAAGTACGTTTGGTGTGTAATTTAAAGCATACTATATTTGATTATGTGAAAGTAATATAAGGCTACAAATACTAGTTGAAACCGAGTCACTATTCAATGTATTTGTGTGGGAGCCTTGGCAAACTCAAGGGCTGTCGGAGACGACACACACTCTAGCTATGCCAGTTCATTTAAGTAGCAGGAGTTATTAGAAGAAAATTGTCATTAAGTATATTTATACATCAGGAACTACAGTATACAGTTTGCAAGCAATGTAAAACAAGGCACAGTTTTGTACATAGGTGGGACCTTTAATGAAGGAAATTTTTTTATTACATTATTTAATATAGAATAGTGATGTAGGTTTATCCTTACACAGACTACAAAACCAATACATAAGCTTAAGACGAGAGAGTTTTTTTTTTTAAATACGTAAAAATAGCAAAGTAAATAGCTGTTTTATGTCTGCTTTTAGCAATTATTTCTTATGTCTTATGTCAAAAATGCACGGAAATTTATGGTTTTACTATCTTTAACATTATCAGATATTTACACGAGAAATACTGGGAAAATATTTTAAAGTTTTATTTTGTACTTCACACTAGCCCCCGATAAGTTTATATATATATATATATATATATATATATATATATATACACGGCATAATCTTTATTTTGTACAAAAAGGTAAATTTCAAGAAGAAAAAAAATCGAAAAGTTAAAACAATTTCTTTTAATTTAACTTTGTTTTAATATTTTTTTCATTGAATTTTAAATAAATCCAAGCTACGACTGTCAAACGATCCTTGTACACGTATACATTGTTAGTATCAAAGGCGAAAAAAACAAAAAAAAACAAAAAAAAAAAAAAATTATAATAAAAAAATTGCGGTTAAGTTTTTCAGCCATGTCTTCAAAATAGTAAATAATCGTTTGACGAAAAAAAAAAAAAAAAAAAAAAAACTACGATTATAACGCCATTTTATGTGCATTCAAATAAATTTTTGTCAAGTTTTTTTTCTTCTGATATTGCCAACTTATAAAATGTCAGGTTTACAAATATTCATCCAAGGAGTTTAATCAAAGTAACTTTTTCTAAAGCAAAGAATTCACAAACGATGCAGTCAAGTTTTAAACCGACTGGAATACGAAAGTGAGTACGAAATTCTGAACAAAGATTTTTAGTTTTAAATTTGAGAGACAAACTTTTTCGGAACTCTTTATTTTCTAAGTTTTTTTTTTTTTTTTTTAGTGGGAAGTGAATTGAAGCTGATAAACAATTCCATTAACTTCAACTACGAAAGAAGCATAGATTATTGTAGACAACAGCTCATTACTTAAATTTGAAGTTGATGCCAAAACGTAGGAATTACGTGTATATTTATACGTAAAGGCTTTTTCGCAAGGTACGTTTCTCAGTTTTTTGTTGATCCGTTTCCAAACGATCACTCTGTCCGACTTCCTCGCCAGCTTTGTAACGAGGTATTCAGGAAGAGAAAGTCGGAGTTATTGACCTGCTTTCCGGAAGTGTCACTTCTCAAATATTGGGTAACCGGTCGTTTAGCAGAGATCGGATAGAGGGTCATTTGGGAGACAGACGAACTTGGAATCGGCGGTAGTTTTTGCCATTGAAACGTGTCAAATTGAAACAAGTAGACGTTAAACATATGCGGCGCACGGTGGACTCCGACATAAAGAACGGATCCGTGCATCTTAATAGAGCTGCGTGGGAAGTCATCCTGCTTTAAAGGTAGAGGTTCGAGTTCAATTGACGGCAGAGTCAGTTCTTCCGGGCTCCACTCGTTAGAATTCATGTCGTAGCAGATACAGTTGATTTTTACACCATCTGACATTGCCAATTGTTCAATTTTTTGAAGTTTCTCATCAGGAAAAAAGAGTTTCTCTTTGGAAAAAAAGGCATTTTCTAACTGAGCATTGCTTACATATTTCCAACCAGTTGACAGCAGATCGTAACTTCCTTTGCAAAGATTTACTCGATACAAGTTACAAAGTGATCTTGGATATCGAGACACGTTAGCATGTTGTCGGTCATTCCTCGGCTCGCTGGTCCAGCTACCAGAGTTGTTTAGAGGGTTCTTTAACGAGAGTTTGGCGACGATTAAAACGTCATTCCCGTCAAGTGAAACACAGTTAAGCCTTAGACTTACATCTTCCCTGGTGAAAGAGCCAGGCAGAAACCGGTTATCCAGCTCTTGGGTGATGTCTAACAATAGTGACCAGTTGTTAATAACATCAAACTGATAGAGCGACAAAACAAGATCAGATGATCGAGCCCACAAGTTCATCATTACGTAGAGGCGACCGGAACAACAAAAATAATGGATCGCTTCTTTACCCGGGTTGATAACCCGCCCTTCTCTCATTATTGTACGCAAAATAGACACTGGGGTCTCAACAGTTTTCGTGTTCAAATTTGTCAAGTGGATAGTGTAAGGATCGTTGCCTATGGACACTAAATAACAACTGTCGATGATGCCAAGTGGAGTCTGCCCAATACCGAGGACAGTTTCATAAGACCATCTATTGTTTTCCTGACAGAAAAAACTCAATCCTTTGCAAGAATCTTCATAAACTAATAGACCATTATAATTTCCCCTAGAAGAACATGTTTTCTCTTGTGAGATTCCTTGTTCTGTCTCTTGACAGCTGCTCCAACTGATTTTTCCAACAAAATTAGGTATCGTCGGACTCGATTCACAGTTGGCAGAGGCTTGACCGTAGCAGCTTAGATTGTGAATAGACTCCAAAATGACATCAAGTGCTTGATCCTTTAAATATTTCAGGAGGAGTGTCTTTGAGAGTTCTTTACGGCTCTCGAAGTCTCCAGCCTTCAACCAGCTAACAATCAAGTAAGCGACATCTCTGGGTTGCATAGATTGAATCAGATTATCGCAGTTTAAAAGAGCAGAAAGGCAATCAGGAGTGAAAGCCCGCATGTCCGTTTTGTCAACGAGGTGTCGCGTAAAAACCGTCAATAAGAGGGCGAGGCAAACCACCTCGAGCTCAGCCATATCGTACAGGTGTGCTAATCTCCAGGTCCAGAGAGCGTTTTGCGGTTGTAGCTGCTCGAGAAGAAACTGGGCACAGTGTTCTTTCAAGCCGTTAAGCATAAAAAGATGCGCTGCACCCAAAACTTGTTCCAAAATATGCTGTCGGAGACTTACTTTACCCGTGTACATATAGTCCACAACGATTTTCAGTACAGCCATATCTTCAAAGGATGTGGTGAAGTCTATGATTCTTGTTGAGCTTTCGCGAAAGCCAGACTGAAGCATAACCTGGAAATATTCGCTTACAGAACTAAGAATAATTCCGTGAACGCTAAGGGACTCCTCTTTTACTTTCAATATAACATCTGTGTAAAAAGAGGCCTTATACAAGTCGTAGAGTTTCGAGTCTCTCTCCTTGAGGGTGTTTTCGTCAGAGTACATGATGCACAAGTCAAAAGACAGCTGCTCAAGTGGGCACTGGTGTCCTGCAATAAGAGAGAAAACGCATTAGGTTTAAAAGCATTAATTAGGAATAAAAGGTGCTCGTAGAGTAACGGCTATCGCCACGGAACGCTTGACCTGCACCAAACGCCTTTATATGAAAATGTGCTAACCCTACTCCAGGAAGGAGGAGGGTGTTTTTTTTTACCTGCCGGCAACTTTCAATTGAAAGTATTCCCTTGTAACTGAGGCTTGGATTCGAAACTATCTTACTGAATACAGGGTGTCCATAAAGTTTGAGTGCACTTTAAAAAATTATAAAGTTATTTGTATTTGCGATAGAAATAATTTGTAAAAAGGATTAGAAAGAAGTAAATCTATATTTTTAACCTTTTATTGAAATTTTATTTAAGTTTCTACATGTCCTCCATCATTAGCAATACAAAGGGTAATACGATTTTGCAGTTCACGGAAAACATTTGCCAACAGATTTACAGTAATGCCTGAAATCACATTAGTTATTTTAGCTATACTTAAAACTAGGTACATTAAACTTTATAACATTTTTTACAGATTATTTCTATCGCAAATAGAAATAAAGTTATAAATTTTTTAAAGTGCACACGAACTTTATGGACACCGTTTTATAGCGGGGAAAGTTAAGATTTTGTTTTGTGAATATACCGCTTACTCTGCAGGTCGTTGATTTACGACTGGTTACGCCTGAAAAGTCGGGAATCGTCCTGTAATTAATTTTGCAATCTTTTTTTAATCTTAGGCTTTTTTTTTTAACGGTTGTCTTCCCGAGCGCTTTGCTTCGTCTGCACAGTAAGAATGTTCATCGGAACCTTTTTAGATTTGATATTCCATCGACATATGCAGCAAAGTTTCGTGGATTGATCCGGTCCGTTGCGTCTTTACAACGGTCAAGTGTAGAACCGTTTAGGTTCTAAAATTCTTTATTCTCCAAAATCGTTGTCACAGAGTGTAATAACTTCAGATCAGGTGCGACAGGATTCACTTTCTTCCTCCGTACTGTTTAAGTCAACCATTATTTTTGTGCCAAGATCTTTCTTTCCTTCTTGGCAGGCTGAGTAGACAAAGACCATTTTCTCTTGGTAGACTTTAAGAGAGAGAAAAAAAAAATTAGACACGAACCGTCCTAACACGGAACATGAGGCGAACGAGGAAAGCTTAGCGTTGCCTGGAGCTTTGAGGCGGAAACTGTCGTACGCCAAGCTTTGAAACACTCACGCTGCCAAAGGCGGTACAGTTGTAGTCTGACATAATTCACAGTCGTAAATCGACAACGATCCGTTTTGGTTTCAGAACTGCTGCCGTCAGTTTAATTTTGTTGACGGGAAGACTTCAGAAATCTTGAAGAACCATTCCAAGGCAGGCACTGTATGAATTTAGTACAAATATTTCCGAGTACATTCAGCATAAATTATTTATGTTATAAACTAAATCTATTGCAGCGAAGCATTTAGTTAACTCGCATTTTATCTGTTTTAAGCACACAAATATATATATAAGAAGCTACAAGTTAAAAACACGTAAAAGAATCTTGCAAAGCACCAGACAACGTTGCCCCCTGTTTAGACCTTTAGGTCCTTTTAAAGCAAAGAAAAAAAGATAACTCCAAAATACCCTTCCTGGGTAGGGATAAATGTTGGATAGACAAGGCTTTCTAGAATTGCGTGGCAGCCAATGGGACTAGCAAGATTCAAAATTGGAAATATAACGAGAAATACTTCACTATCTTTTCCTAGAAGTTACGACAGCTTAAAGAATTTTTACAGCCATAAAAACCAACGTCTTGAAAACAGGAATGCGTTCAAACGTTAAGTGCTCTATACGGAGTTCCATGCCACTAAGTGGGAAACACCGAGATCGAATACTAATTAAATCATTTCCAATTTTAGTTACCAATATCTGTCGCAGTGAAGTACTTCATAACTGCAGGAATTTTACAGTGTCATTTAGTAATTCTATCTATGCCATTTACAGCGGGAGTTAAAGCCACAAATTAAGAATTTCGTTTTAGCTTTTTCCAGAGAAATTGGTTCTTGCAAGTATCGATATTTATTTGGCCCACTTCAAAAATAATTTTCCATTAAAAGAAAAAATCTTACAGAAAGTCATTTTACAAGCTTTTTAAATATCGGTATTGTAATAATAGGTACTGGCGTTAGAAGATCTAAAGGGTATGTTTTAGCGTTCCTTAAACGTTTTGCAGGATGCGAAACGTGGCGTAATGGATAACTTGGAATGAGAAGTAGAGTTCAAATTCCAGTCGGGTTCATTACTGTCACTTACATAGATGCCCTCGGTAAAAAAAAAAAAAAAAAAAAAAAAAAAAAAATGAAGCCATCTCTTCGCCTACGTCAACGACGAATTAAAAATAGGACAGGCGAAATCCTAGAGCGACCAGTCTATTGTGGAAGAAGTCAGGAATCTAAAGAGAAATGATCGTTCCAAGCGTGTATCACAAATGGCACTTAACTGACCAAAACTTTCTTCAGCGGTGGGAGAACTTTTAGAGTTCAAACTGCCATTGCAAGAAGCAAACGGATCCTCGAATACATAACGGCGATAGAAATTTCAACCTTTGTGTTGATGGGGGTTAAAAAAACAAAACAAAAAACTGGCATTGCCACAGAGATACCTTTGTTACTGTCGAGTATTCGTTCCAAAATTAGAAATCGAAATTTAGCATTTGATAAGTGGTGGCAGTCAATTTAGTATTCAAATTCATGGTATTTTACTATGACTCAGATTATTTGATGGCCTTTCAGTAAACTGGCCAAATGCGGAATTGGTCAATAAGGAAGAGTTTACCATAAGTTTTATGCGTAAAAGTGGACTTTAGTTTATTTTAATCTGTTTTGTCTTAAGGTGGATTTAAAGAAAAAAAATTAAAATGATTTTCGGTGCTTTTTACATGGCAGAGTGAAACCCCACCAATAAAATTAAAAAAAAATTCCGTGATCTGGAGTTCATCATAATCCACAATATAAAAGAAAAAAAAAAGTTGATTTTATTGGAGAACTTTGTTTCTTAAAAAAAAAGTAAAAATCCAAAGAACGTAAAGGAAAGCTTATGACGTTCAAGAATTTTGGCAAAATGCAAAAATCAATCAGTCAGGAAATAAGAGAACTGTTTTTACCTTTTTCGGACGGCCAATGTGTTAAGTTCAGTAAAGGGCTTCTTTCACGATGGAAGACAATCGCCATTTGAAGGAATAGTTCGCTTTCTCAAAAGACCATAAAACACCCAAATCTACCCGCTCAAAAACGATAAATGTCGTAAAAGACTTTAATACAACCAAAACTTCGCCTTTTTCAACCGAACGCGCGCATATGCAAATATTGCGTTTTTCTTCACATCGACCAATGAAAATCTGTTGAGCTAATTAGGTAAAAGTTACTCTCTCTTTTTTTTTTTTTTTTTAGCTCAGTTGGACATATTCAAGTTGGACATAAGGCCAATTCACTCTAGTGCTACGTTAGCTTAGGTCGGTTTTTATTTTGGTTTAATCCTCTGAATTTAACCTAGCCAGGGTATAGATGTCATCAGCACCTTTATTTTTGCCCCCCCCCTCTTTTTATCTTTAGTTTATTCCCCTTCCTTCCTCATTTAGATGACAGGGATTGCAGTTTCTGATGTATGTGGATGTTTTTCGTTTCGAAGGTGAATAATTTTAATAATCCCACTGTATCTTTTGTCCAGTTAACTGTTATCTCTGCCATGATTACATTGTGGGGTTTTCCTTACTAACACTGTTTTGTTAAGTTATGTAAATATTATTATATCATGGACATTGGTGATTTTATCAACCCAACCCTCCACAAAGATTGTACATAGGGGGTTAGGTGAGGATTCTTAGAGCAAATGTGGCATTATGCTTTCTGTATAAAGCAGTGTTGTGTAGATGAGATGTTTTTGGTGAAAGAATCAACATACGAACGATTGGGTCAGTGATTGAGTCTAGTTAAGTTATCGGTAGGCCTTTCCTAACCCCATTTTGCTCTTGTAGCATATCTGTACAATAAATATTTGGACATAAGATCAATTTACCATCCCGGTCCAAATCTGTACATACTGGACGAGTTAGGAATTCATAGCGAAACTGTGGTATAATGGGGTTTGATGTAAGAATGTGCATTGGAGATGAGGTATTTTAGGGAAAGGGAAATATATTCGATCAAAAAAGCAACAACAAAAAAAAAGCAAACAAAAAACTGTCTGTTCGATTAGTGAATATCCAATGTCAATAAATTCTGAATAAATACAAAATTAATTATGAATATCGTGCAAATGTTCTGAAATGCTTAGAGTATATAGTTCTTTAGAAATATGTACATTAATCTAAACAGTTTTTTTTTAAACAAGCAAACTATGACCTACTAACAAGAATTCAATTCTTAACTAAGTTATCTCCCTCATATTTTAATGTTTACAATATGGAAAAAAATTAAAAATCACCGTTTGTAACTTTGCGCATGAGTGGAACTGTCAACGGTTTAATCACAAAAGTAATACCAGTCAGCCTCTATGGCAATGAATGCTAGACAATC